CTGTGTTCCATGTGGAGCAAGAGATGGTACCTGGGACTCTGTTCTGGTTCTGACTGCTGAAGAGTTCTGTTGCAACTTCAGTGAAGACAATAATCCTGCATGAAAAGGCTTTGACTCACAGTCCTTTTAGAAATACAGATTACCAGTGGATGGAGAAGGTGCAAACCTTGAATGTGGTGGAAATAGGGAATAAATGATGCTCATATTTGCAGTGGAAGAGAATCTGTGGAGAAGCAGTTGCAGCCTGAGCTGATGTGTGGGGATGCCATTCTTGCTCTTCCCTGTTAGGAAGTTGTGGTTATCACTTCTGATATCATGGCTACAGGGTCAGAAAGAGATTTGCAAACACCAGATTGCTGCAATGAAACAGCACTGTAAATGTTACAGGAATCTCTAAGCCTTAGAGCACAAACCTAAAGCAGTGAGCTGACACTTCTGGCAAAGCACGAAGGGACAGACTGGCTCACGCAATCACTTGTCCTGTACTTATCAGGATTTGAGAGCATTTATTCCAGCAAAGCTGGTGGAGCAGGCACAACATGCCCCTAACAGTCACTGAGATGCTCAAAGACTTGCTCCTTCTTCAGAGATCTCAGTATTTCATTTAACTGGAAAACATCAGATCCAAGTGTTTGACCAAAGGAGTAAACAAATATTCTTTGGTCTGAGCAAACTGTGTGTGTGTGTGGACATAAATGTGCCCCTACTGCAGCAAACTAGCTCATATAAGTTTAAGTAAAAATAAAAGATAAAGATAAGTATAAAAAGATAAGTATCTTTTAACGTACAGTCACATTTCTTTCAGTGTAGCAGCAGTGAATAAACACAAGAAACAGGTCTGAAAGTTTCAGTGCCTCTTCAGGTAATCCCAAGCTTTCCATACGGCTATGTGTCCTCCTTTTTTTGATTGCATCTATCTTTACTTCCCTTTCCATACAGTATATGTTGATTTATACAAGCAGTTTGTAAATTTCCTTTGTTTTATGAATAGTTTGGGCAAAGTGTCTTTGGTTGACAGTACTTTTAACTTCTAATCCTTTGTATTGTGCAAGTCATTAAATGAATTCTGAAACTTGTTTATAGAGCAAAGGTGGTTTTCTTGGTCACTAATAGCCACTAATAACCTTTCTGTTCTGTAGGATTCTAAGTAACTTAATGCATGAAGGCTTTTCATAGATAGTGTCTGGCTTTAGTTAAAAACTTCAAACAAACAAAACAACAAAACAATTAAGGAAAGCCCAATTCCCAGTGCCCTGATTATAAATGTATTGTTGCACGACATCAGTATTGCTTTAATGTGTTTTCAGTGTGTTTGGATTTTATTTCAGTGCTGCTCTACAGTAGCTGCCTTCCCTTCAATATTTTTACTGCATTACGAATGCAGCTTTCAGCCCAAATCTGCACTCTCATGCAGCTCTGCATATGAAAATAGTAAAAAGGCTGGAGGGGATGCTGTGACTGTGCTTGCCCCCAGTCAAGAACATGTGTAAGCACTTCAGAACTGAGCAATGCAAAAATACAACAATAAATGCCTTTTCTGGTCATTTCCCTGCCTGAACTCTTTCAGCCTGAGACCCATTAAGATTTACATCCTTGGTTCTTTGTGTTGCCTTGGTTTAGAAGAGGAGATCTAACTCTGCCCAAGAATTTACCTGCCTCAGTATTCTCTCTTTGCCTATTGTTAATTAAAAAATGAGTATGAAATACACAGAAATAAGTCTTCCAATAAGTGATGTTTTGGAAAATGTAGTTATCTGAGCCTAGTTTTCCAACCTTGATAAAATGCTTGGAATTGCATTGCTAGAACTGATACCTCAATATCTTGATTCAGAATTTTGAGTCAATAGCTAAGAAAGCTACAAGCAAATTAAGTATTTATATTCCCTGAATACAGCTCTGTCTGTTTTAGCTGCTACTTTGTGTATTTTCTAGATGAAGCCTAGCCTGGAGGAGTGGCACAGTGTTGTATTCCTGCTTTAAAGCACAGGAAATCAAATGTTGTCGTGCACTTCTGTGTGTTACAAACAGAGAAACAGAAAAAGGATTTCCCAATTGCTAAGATAAAGAGTGAAAGCAGAAAACAGGGGGTTGGTGCCTTCAACCTGAGTAACATAATTCAGGCACAGTCATGTATAGTGAAGTATGTAATGAGGCTCTGCTGTCATGCTACAGGCTGCCTTGTCTCAGCACTCAAAGCCTTTATAACATTTTATGTCTGAAGACTTATTCCATCTTTCTTTTTCATCCCTCAGCCTTACTCTTTTACATCTCCCCTGCTGGAAGTGAATAAACCATTTTAACCCCTCTGCTCTTTTCTGCCTAGGTCACCTGGCAATGTGATTTTAACCTGGTGTGGTAAAACGTGATTTTTACCTGGTGGCGGTTTTTACCTGGTGTGTTCCTTCCTGAGTCCAGCTTGATGACATCACTTTTAGCTTTTGGAGCAGTAGCTGTGTGTGTGTAGCTCTTCCTTCAGGCTCTGGAGTGAGCTCAGGCTGTACTGGCCATGTTGCCTGTGCCACATGTGCTCTGTGGTTGTATTTATTTGCAGCAACCCTGCAAGAGGGCAGGCAGGGCTCTCCACTCCTGCTCCTCAGCACTCAGCCCGCTCCCCCAGAAATTCACTAATCCCTACATTTTAGTTTCTGTGATTTGAAAGGCTTATCTGGAGCTGGAGGAGGAAGGGGTTTTTCCAACAGACTGTAGAGAGAAAGTAAATGAAGAAATAACAGGGATACAATGGGATGATACTGCATGAGTTGTAATTTTTTGTAATACAGCTTTATTAGGAGTCGAGTGTAGAGATTTGAAAGTTGAACTGCATGTACCTCCCAGTAGTTTGTGGGTAAGAACACACATTCATTTTCTGATATTAGGGATCAGATTTGCATGTATTTTCACTCAGAACTAGAGCAGCACTAAAGATTGTTGGTTTAGGTGACAAAATGTTCCATATTGATTTGTTATCTTGTCCTCTAGAGGACTTGGGGGTTTTTCCTTGGAATAGCCTGGGAGCTACTTGAGTTAGCAAATAAATTGGATCTTTTAAAAATAATGCTGGAACCCAGTGTCATAGGTTTTCTGTCTGGAGACTTTTTTTCTTAGTGGCTGTGATAAGGACAGCAGACAAATTGGAATTTTAACCAAAGCAGGAAGATTCAGGAAAACAGTGCAGCATTAATAGGATCTTGCTTCCTATTGATTTCATGCTTATAAATGCAAGTGGTCCTTTTTCTACAGTAAAGCAAGACTGGATCCTGCAAGTTGGAAACAATAACTAGAGGATTGTCTTGGTGTGCTGGAAAGGGAATCTGTAGTGATAGGATTCATTTTTCTCAGGTATAAGTTCAAAAGAATTTAGTGGAGCTCAAATGGATTTGTTATGCTACCAACTCATAAAAGGATAGGACTTTTCCACATATTGTCCACAGACATCTGTAGGAATGGAGCTGAGATAGCAGAAAACTGTTAGAATGATGCAGTGTCTCAGAGATTCCAGGGTTAATCCCACTGGAATGGAAAAACTAGAGCTGTATTATTAGAAAATCAAATGAAAGGCAATTCCCAGTTAACTCTTTATACTTCTGGAAAGTCTAAAATAATGAGAATGAGTTTCAATCTAATTTTAACTGAAGTTCCATTATTCCTGACTTAGTAATTAGCAGGTGGTATTTTTATATGAGGTGTTAGAGGATATATGGTGCCTCCTTACACTCACTTCACTTGAACCTGGTCTTCAGTTTTTGGTATTACCAAGTTATTCTGACATTCCCACAGATGGGGAATTACTTTTGTAGCTGAGAAAATGGAAATGCAGAATAACTTGCATAGGGTTACACAGGAAATTATTGGCCAAACCAGGAGCTGAGACGGGGCTGCTCAAGGCCTTGTCTGGTGTGCTAAAACAGAAACTCACTTCTCATCTTAGTGGACTTTGTCAGCCTTAAGTTCATGCAGTAGTAAGAGGAATACCTCAAAGTGGAGAGCCCTGGATTTCTCATTCAGCAGAGTCAACAGTTACTCCTGAATCAGCAAAATTATTCCTTGCCACAGTTATGAAGGGAAGGAGGATTGTCTGCCAGAACCCTGCCAGTGTAGGCAGGGCTTATTTTAACAGAGAAAACTATGTTCATGCTGTAGGAAACATATTTTGAAGTGATGATTCTCCCAGTAGGCGAGGAAGCAATTGATTATATTTTCAGAACTGCTCAGTGGCTCTTGAAGAGCCACATGAACAGCCAAGTAGTAGAAAACCAGACCACAAACTAGCAAGGTCATTAGCAGATGCAGTGAGCACGCCTAGCTTTGAATTGGAAAAAAGGGAAAAGCAAAGGAGAACTGGTGGGCTCTGGCTGCTAAGTCAGCATTTGGAGAGTGTTAGTGTAAGGCTGCTTTCCTTTGAAATTAATTGAAGTACACAAAAATTCAGGATTTTTTAAAATACAGAAAGAAACTGCTGTTTTTGCCTTGGCAATACTGATATCTTGATAGTTGCAGCCAGGAGAGACCGTGTGTGGAGACAAGCCTTTGGCTGCTGGTTATTTTCTCAGTTTTGTCACGTGGTGTTTGCACACTGGGACAATGTGGTGTCTTCCCAAGCCTCAAGTGCAGGGTGTGAGTGAATTTGTGTAATTGTTTTTGCCAAAAGGAGGCATGCTAGTTCTTTGGCTCTATGTCAACTTCTCTTTTCTTTCTGAAAGATGAAAGTGTGGTTTTTTCCAGCTGTATTAAATGGGCTTATTAGCTAACTTGGAACTTCAGCTGAAGGAGCTGTACTGTCACAGATGTGATTAGAGGGACTCTGCTGTGAGTATAAACTACTTCAGAACAAGCTCTTACCCTTCTCAAGGAGAGGCACTTTGTTTTTAGTGACTTAAACTTTTTTGTGCTCGTAGCTGGGACTCCCCCTTAGAGTCCATGTACACTTATAGAAGCAGAAAAGCTATAAAAAGGGAAGGAAACAATCACTCACTCATCCAAAACTTCCTGTTTCATTGCAGGGACTTTCTGCCCCGTGGATCTGGCATTGTGACCAGGCGCCCACTTGTCCTTCAGCTGGTAAATGCCAGCACAGGTATGTGAGCTCCCTTCCCCTGTGTGTCCAGCTGGATTGCTCTCTTAGTCAGGAAGATCTTATTTGATCACTGGAGAAAATAAATAAGGATTTTCCTGAGGAAAAATGGCCTGCAGCCTTTTTGCCTGTTTAACATGTAATGCATTAAGTCTTGAGAAGCAAATAGCTTCTTAATTTTTTTTGTTTGTTTTAATTTATTATTCAAGGCTCCATGCACACACATGATTTTCCTTTGCCTATGCAGTTGTGACTCTCATGAGTAAGACCTAAAAGCTGAAAATGTAGTGAATTAAGGGGGTGACGATGTTGGGCTCAATTGAATTATCTCAGATGTTGACCACATAAATGTGACTGCAGTAGCTACTGTTCTAACCTGCAAACTGTTGGGAAAGGCCTTGCCAGACTTCATCCCTTTAACTGTGTTTTGTTGTGTTGTGCTTGAGGACGTGGTGCTTTCATTGCACTTCTGAGTGTTTCTCTGGTTTTGGTGACTATTTCTGACTCTGCTTCTGTTTAAATAGAATATGGCGAGTTCCTACACTGCAAAGGGAAGAAATTCACCGATTTTGAGGAGGTCCGTTTGGAGATTGAGGCTGAAACAGATCGTGTTACTGGCTCCAACAAAGGGATTTCCCCTGTGCCCATCAATCTCCGAGTCTACTCTCCCCATGGTGAGTCCTAATGCAGAGGGACCAACTCTTCTGGAAGGCTCTGCACTCCGTTGTCAATTGAATATGAAGTACTGTCATCTCTTCCCGTTCAGTGTAGCATATGTGGAAGGACTTTGAGGGCTCAATTTTCCTGATCAATGTGAAAACAAGTCATTTAAAGGGAAGGGTGATTGACAATCGCAGTAGAAACAACCTGCACCTAGTTCTTACTGCTTCATAACAAGAAGGAAATAAAAAGCTTTGTGTGCTTTTGTGCGTGCATCTCGTATCCGTTATTGGAGTCACTTTAACTACAGGTGGTACTTAAAGACCAGAACATTCCTACCTTAACAATCTTTGTGTCCTGTGTCTAGTCCTGAACCTGACCTTGGTGGATCTGCCGGGTATGACAAAAGTCCCTGTAGGGGATCAGCCCCCTGACATCGAGTTCCAGATCCGAGACATGCTCATGCAGTTTGTCACCAAAGAGAACTGCCTCATCTTGGCAGTATCCCCAGCCAACTCTGATCTGGCCAATTCTGATGCCCTGAAGATTGCAAAGGAGGTGGATCCTCAAGGTAAATGTCTCCTAATTTATCCTGGCATTACTAGACAGTGGCCTGATTTTCACTTGGTTGTGATTAGGCCAGTAGCTTAGTGGCTCACATCTGTTGTCTTGGGATGTGTTTTCACCAACATTCCTCTGAGGGGTATTAATGAGTGTTAATAGTTGCTGTAGTAGAAATTTTGTTACTCCCCTTTTCTTCTTCTTTTTTCTAAGTCCCATTTCTAAAGAGTTGAAGGATTTCCTTTCCTTTAACCATTTGTATTTAGCCTGGAAAGAACTAGGGAAATATGCACTAAAATCCTTTTCTGCTGTGGCATAGCTTGTGCATTAAGCAGGATACAACTGAAAACTGATCTTGATTTCTGTCTATTTTGCTCCTGTGGCCTCTTGTGCAGGATGTGAGCTGTAATGTGTAACTTCAAGAGCCCTGGGGTAGCTAAGTTGGGCAATCTGTAAGCTCTGTGAACAGAGCAAAATAATACATGAGTCATTCGCTGATAGAGTATGTTTGTGGTTTTTGTCCATAGGCCAACGCACCATTGGGGTCATCACCAAGCTGGATCTTATGGATGAAGGAACTGATGCACGAGATGTATTAGAAAACAAATTGCTTCCCCTCCGTAGGGGTATGCTTTGCCCATGATTTCCTTCCTTTATTTTCCCTGTCTGAGGTCCTGGCCTCATCCTCTTCCTCCCTTCCCTTCTTATAACATTTCTTACAACTTGTGGTTAAACCATCTCAGTTCCAACCTAGAAGTGAGAAAAGTTGGGAACAGGGCTCAGTCACGCTGTTAACAGGAACATTTTAGGTATTTATACCTTGATATGTTGTCCTAGCAGAAACACACTTATGCTCTTATTTTTACTTTTTCTTTCCTTTCATTAAGGCAAGCTGTGAAAGATGTCTAAAACACTCCCCTCACTGCCATAGTAAAAGGATTAAATAATTCTGGGCTGTGGTGCTTGCTGTGGCCATGACAAAAGTACCTCTGCTAAGGACCCATAAAAGGAGAGTCTGAAATAAAAGAGACTGGAATGTGCTTTGTGTTAGGGGAACAGTAACAAATAAGCTAATTCTCTGTTCCATACTCATTTTTGTCCTGCATACCAAAATATCAGAAGGTGGGCCATTCAAGGAAAGTGTAATTTTAAACTCTTCCAGTTGCCCCTAATAATGTGTTACCACTAAAAATCCCCCTTTTGTAATGCTGCTGGCTGAGTAACTTCCTTCTCAAGTCTGACTTTTATTTACGTCCTTGCAGCCCTCTGATCTCTAATCCCACTCTCACAGGTTACATTGGTGTGGTCAACAGAAGTCAGAAGGACATAGATGGCAAGAAGGACATTCAGGCAGCTCTGGCTGCAGAGAGGAAGTTTTTTCTCTCCCACCCAGCCTACAGACACATGGCTGATCGCATGGGAACCCCATTCCTGCAGAAAGTTCTGAACCAGGTACTGTCCACAGTCAGGAACTGCTGCCCATGGTGTCACTGGCTGTGCAACACACTGAGGCCAATAATGGAGCTTGCACCCCAAAGGCAGAGCACTGATTTATCCTTCCACTTTCAGTAGTTGGTTTGTGGTATAATACACTATTAAGATGCAAGGTCTTTCTGGCTCAGTTAAAAGATACCTTCTAAATTCCAGTGAACTCTGTACCTCGCAGTATTTGTGTGATACTGATAGTTAATTCCCATCTATTGAGGCTATTTTTCATACAATAGTAATTTACTGTTGCTTCCTTCTCTGCTCCCTTGAAATACTCTCTGAAATGAAGAGAGCCTCTTTCCTATTTCTCCTTATTCAAATATTCATCTTCAAACTGGAGTTTCCCAAATCTGCACTTTGTGGAAACCCTCTTATTGGAGCCCCATGAATAGTTTTGGCTCCTTCCACCTTGCCTTTTCACTTCTTTTTTGAAAAAGGGCTTTACCACCACATTGGGTGTCAATGGTGTGCTAGTCTGAAGGCAGAGTAGCCTTTACCCTCATGTAAAAAGCAAATGCTAATACTTTTATGTGAAGTTTCTTATTGGGTTTGGGTCAGTTTGGTTTGTGTGGAGGGGAGTTTTGCACCATACCAGAAGGTAAACTGAAGGTCAAGAGTAGAGGGGGCAATAGGCAGGAGCTGGGGAGGGGGAATACCTTCAGCTCATGACTGGTATTTGTGCTGGGATAGACATTTTGTTAGGACCACACAGAAGAATTGAACACAGAGAGGAGCTTTCATCTTTTTTTGTAGTGTGGAGGCAGCAAACTCTTCCCAGTAACTACCTAGAGGTTTATTGTCATCTTAAACCTTTTTCTTGTGCAGCAACTGACCAACCACATCCGTGACACGCTGCCAGGGCTACGGAACAAGCTCCAGAGCCAGCTCCTCTCCATTGAGAAGGAGGTGGAGGAGTACAAGAACTTTCGCCCTGATGACCCTGCTCGCAAGACCAAAGCTCTGCTTCAGTGAGTGGCCTCAGCATCCCTCCCTGGAAAGGACTGCTCAGTGATGAATTCTACTTCATGATCTTGGTTTTCTTTCAGGATGGTCCAGCAGTTTGCTGTGGACTTTGAGAAACGCATTGAAGGCTCTGGAGACCAAATTGACACCTATGAGCTGTCAGGAGGAGCTCGGATCAACCGCATCTTCCACGAGCGCTTCCCCTTTGAGCTGGTGAAGGTACTGCTGCCCCATGCTGCTGAGATACACTTTTTGTTTCCTGTTGTATGTTACTACTTCTGTCTGTCTCCTTACTCCTCTTGCTACCTTTCATCAGCAGACTTTCTCTTCAGCTGCTTTGTTTCATGGTTTTCTCTTTTATCACCTTTTTTCACTTGTTTATCTCCTTTGTTGGGACCTTCCCATAGTGCTGACTTTCCCTCTGTCCCTGTTTTTGTGACAGAACTTAACTTCCTCTGAAATAAATGACAAAGTTTTTTGGACTTGATTCCTGGATGCTAAATTGAGTGTGAAAAATCACTTTAACAGAGCCCATGGTAGATCAATGACTGAATGCCCTCACAGATATGTCAAAGCTACTGTGACTGAATTTCATGTAGAAGGAATGGTGCTGAAACTTGTACTTCTTGATCCTGAGCATCAGACTAGACCTAAAGTAGATACCTAAGAAGAAGGAAAAAGAATTGTAGGTATACCTGGGATTACTTCTATCTGGCCCCTATCAATGGCCTAGAGGTGAGAATGGTATAGAAACTGTATTCACCTCTTAACAGTGGAAGAGGATTCTTACTGAAAGACAATTTTCTTGGATGATGAATTACAATAACAGGATCAGGAGGGGTACTGAAAATGTTTTTATGATGTCAGTTGGAACAAACTTAAGAGCTAGATCTGCTTCAATATTTTTTGCATTGGCTTTCTTTTTTTCAAATTTAAATAAGATGAGGCCTTTCTAGTGAAATAAATAGCCTTCCTTGTGTTAGATTTACAATTCATACAAAATGTTTTATCCGTTTGTGGTGTTCACTGAAAAAGCAGCTGCCAAGATCTCATGCTAAATGTTGTGAGGCAAACCAATTTTCTTTAGAAAGCCATCTAACACTTCAGTCTTAGTGCTTTACCTCAAAGAACCTCCTTAAGAGCAGCTGGGGCATCTGTAAATGGAGGCCCTTAGCTGTTCATGTGTGTCCAGGATGTCCTGCTTTGGCCACAGCAGTTTTGTGGCTGGACTCTGTATCTAACACCTGGGCTAATATCTCATGTGTCACATGGTAGTGCTGGCATGAGACCTCTTCTCTTCAAAGTCTGCTGCTGTGCAAGTCAGTGTCAGAAAGTTTCTGATGGAATTCTCTCCTGGTGCAGATGGAGTTTGATGAGAAGGAGCTGCGGCGGGAGATCAGCTACGCCATCAAGAACATCCACGGTATCAGGCACGTATCACACGCTAGGCAGAGCTCTGGCTGAAAAGCCTTGTAAATACTTCCAGACCTTCCAAATGGAGTGGAAGACTTCAGAGGTACGGTAGGTCAGCCAAAGGGAGGGATAAGCTCTGTCTTGAATCTGGGAATAGGAATGATCATTCAAGTGAGTTTGCTTTCTTTTCCCATATGGGAGTCACAGAAGCCTAAAAGGTAAAAGCCTGGGTGTCTTGACATCTTCTCCATCCTTCTTGGGCCTTTACATAGGAAAGGGTAGTAGGAGGGATGCAACCCCATACTAGTCCTTTGTTTAGTTAAAACTAAAATGTTGATTTTCACACTAACCAGCAGTTAATTGTTCAAAACAAGTGTTGGTAGACAGCCCCTCGTCCCCATGAGATTTGAGGGAACGCTGGTGTGCCCATCACCAGGATCTCACTGGCCCCACATAGTTAGCAGACAGGTCTGTATTCCCTTCAATGTGAAGGTGAATTGTCAGAAAATTCAGCCCTGAGACCCCAAGTTGTGATGCTCTTGTGAAGGTTCCTGTTGGAGCCCTTTTGCACAGAGGGATGTGAACAAACACTGACCTAGATTTATTTTAATTTGTTTCTCTTGGTCAGCTACCAGCTGAACTTGATAAAAGGTATCAGATGTCAGTGTCCTAGCCTTTAAGAAAATCTTCTAGAGCAGGTCTCATCTCCTCCACAACTCTGAGGTCAGCTGTGGAGGGGTCAGCCCCTGCCACCCTTAGGCTGAGGTGAAATGGTGACCTGGCTATGGCTGTCCAGCTAAGATTGATTTTGCCCCTGGCACCTCCTTCCTTTCAAGTGCCAAGCATCCCTCATTTTTAAAGAACTTCAGTCAGGGTTTTTCCAGGGGATGTGACACTTCCCAGCCCAAATGTCCCGGGTTTTGGTGATGGTGGTGCCTGCTCCAAGATGTGTGTGTAACGCTGTGACATTCTCCTTGCCCCTTCTCCCCTTCCTGCCTTGTCTTGTCCCCACCCTGGGTGTTTAGAACCGGTCTCTTCACACCTGACATGGCCTTTGAGACCATTGTGAAAAAGCAGGTGAAGAAGATTAAAGAGCCTTGCCTGAAATGCGTGGACATGGTCATTTCGGAGTTAATCAATACTGTTAGACAGTGCACCAAGAAGGTAACCAGAGGCAGCATGGAGTTGGCACCTTCCACCTGCTCGCTGGCTGCGGCGCAGCATCGTGACCTGGGCAGGGACTTGCCTGCAGCCACACTTGGTGTTTTCACCACCTCCTCAGCATGACTAGACCTGAGCAGAGCCAGCCTGGAGCGATCCAGCCAACAAGCCAAACAGAAAGGAAGCCCTGTGGAATGTGTGCTGTGGCCCTGCTCCCTGAATCTTTTAGAGCTGAGGCATTCTGGAGATGTCCTGGCCACCCCTTTGTCTGTAGCATAACTCCTGGTTCCTTTGAAAACCAAGGGTATTTCTCTATGGACACGTTTTTCTTGAAATTTATTATCTGGGTTTATTTTCCAAGCCAGAGACTGGGATTTAAATTTTGTGCCCTCTGTTCTTGTAGAAATGAGAGGATTAATCCCAGAGTTGCCCTTGGGGGATGTATGGGGCTGAAATTTAGAGCTACAGCACTTACAGTTGTGGGTTGTATCTCAAGGAAACGTTCCTGTGGTGTTTGGCTTGGTTTCTGGCTGGTTTGGTCCATATCCTGATCTGGAATAGCAGCACATGGCTGAGAAGAAGCAAGTTAGAAACGTTCATCAGCCTCTGGGCTCCATGTGTGCTCTCTCTCAAGAGAGAGGACATCAGGCTTTGCCCTTTGGGATCCATGCTGGTATTTTTTGGGGTCAAGAGTGGGAACCTTGATTCTGCCCTTTGAATGTGGCAGCTTTTGTTTTTGAGGTTGGGGTTGAAAGGGAGCAAGATGCAATGACTTGTGCCACTCTTCTCAGCCATGACTTGCTGCTTCAGGCAGGGCTGGGTGCTGGTGAAAAGGCACCTCAGTTAGGACTGGGTGGGCACTGGAGACTGGAATCGCCACTGGCTTTTCAGGTGCAGGTAAATGGGCACTGCAGGAGGTTTCTACAGAGTCTGACCCCCCTCTCAGCACGGGTGGGGACAGGTGCCCAGGTGGTGACACTTGCCATCCTTTGCACAAGTGCCTGGTCCTTAGGGCCAAGAGCCTCTGCAGAAGGGCTCAGGTGTGCAGGCACATACTTTGCCCCCCAGGACAGACTGGGAGAGCAAAGAGGATGCAGTGAGAGGTTGCTCAGGTTTCTAGAGTGCTGGAGGAGCTTCCTTTTTCTGTCCTGCTGTCCTCTCTTGGGGTGTGTGACTGTGGGAAGCACCCAGAAAATTGCCATTAGAGCCTGTTGACAGGTAAGCACAGGCCCTCGGGCTGCCAAGTATCCAGAGTCACCTGCTAACTGGATCAGAAGGGCCCTCCTTTTTCATGCCCTCTGAAGCTTCTTTTGATTTGTTCTCCATCCATCAGTTGCTATTCAAAACTGCCCATTTATTCTTTCTCATTGCATCCTTTTTTCTTCTTATTTCTTACTTCATTGTTTCTTTTTCATTCCTCCTTTTACTGATAATTTTAGAATAAACCCTCTGTTCTGAAGGCAGCAGTTCTTCAAGTGATCAGGTGGTGGGTGCAACAGGGTGGGAAATGTGGGAGAAGAGACCACATGGATGGAGGGGAAATATCACAGATTCAGGAATAAAGGATTCCATTTCAGCTTGGATCCTACTGCTGAGGTGTTCATGGTTGACTTCAGTTCCAGTTGCTCTGTGTGTGCTCTAGTAGCCATGGTTACAATTTTGTTTATGAAGAAACAAAATACTGTCAATCAGGTGATACTCAGGTATTGTAAGGGACTAATTTCTTTTAAAAAATCAGACTTCCCCTGCAGTATGGTGGGGGAAACAGCATAACTTGAGCTTAGCTGGGCAACTGGATTAGTAGGAAGCCTCTGCTGGGTTAGAGGGTGTGAACTGAACTCTGGAAATGCTCTTGCTTTGCTCAAAAGAGGCATTGTTGGCACCTGTAGAGAGAGCCTTGGGTGAATCCAAATCCTGTAACGTATTCCAACTCTGCTGCTTAAAAGGCAGAGTGGTTGTACATCCCCTAATATGTGTTGAAGGTGTTTTAATACTTGTGTTGCTTGGGGACTTGCAGGTGTTATCTGCAGAGATGTGGAAGATGAGGTGAGGGAGTAAATACCTGATTTACATGAAGTGGTGGTTATTTATAGCCATCCCAGCATTTGTTGGTAGCTGCAGGCACCCCAGGTGTGGTTATAAACTGCAGCTTTAGAAAAGCAAATCCCATTCCCATGCCAAGGGGATGTTATTCCCTGAAAGCACTGGCAAAGTAGTCATGGCCTGTGGTAAGACAAGTAACTCAGATTGTGTAACAAAGAGCATCCAGTAGAAGCCCTGAAGTGTTAAAAGAAGTGCTGAAAAAAATTTTGGTGCAGTAGTCTTGAATTGGATTGATCTTTGCTGTGTTTTAGTAACTTGAATTTCTGTGAATTTTCTGTTATTTTTGAGTGGAGACATTGAGAACACAGACCACAAAATATCAGTGGAAATTAACAGTTCCTTATAAATCACAGCAGGCCTATGTTGGGTCTGATGCTGCAGGTATAATGGATGCTTTGTATAACTGTGGTTGTCTTGTAGCACTTTTGCATTTTCCTAAATACTGGGTGCATCTGTTCTTACTGAGGAAGCTGATGTTGCAGGGAAGGTGGGTGAGATTAAATAAATTTTGCAAGTGGAGTGGTTTGCCCGAATCCCTGAAACTGAGAGACATCAGTTCAGTTCTGCCAAAACAAGATGCAAGTGACAGACCTCTGGGGTCTTAGCCTGGCTCCTGTTCAGGCTTCCTGCAGCTGGAATAAGGAAAACTTGGAAGGGGAGATAACTATGGTGAGAAGGAAGGGGAAGTGAGATAAAGAGAAATGATAAATGGTGAACCTCTTGGAAAAGGGACAGTGGCTCACTGGCAAAAAGTTTTGTCTTGAAATCTAAAGAAGCTTTCCTTCAGGAAGTGATCACTTGATCCCTGGGGTCTCCATTCATTCATCTTGCTCTTGACAGCTCACCATTTCACTGGCCCAGCTGCTCCTACCTCATCCCCCTTTGACACTTCCATTTGCCTGTAGACTCTCCTGATACTTGGCAGTGCACAGGCCCCATAGCAATGCTCACCTGGTTCAGTAAACTAATGGAATGAACCAAAATCTCACTTCTCATTTTGCCTTGTGTTTTCTCTCTTCTCCCTCTTCCTTCCTTCTTTCTTCCTCCTTCCTGCTCTTTCTCTGCTTTGCTTTCTTCTTCCTCGTTGCTTCCTCCCGCCCTTCCCCTGCCATGCAGAACGGGTCTCTTCACGCCTGACCTCGCTTTTGAAGCCATAGTGAAAAAGCAGGTGCAGAAGTTGAAGGAGCCAAGTCTGAAGTGTGTGGATATGGTAGTGAGTGAGCTCACATCCACCATCAGAAAGTGTAGCGAAAAGGTAAAGAAACAAACAATCCAAGAAAGGTCAATGCCCATCCCCGTCCCACACACTTCCATGCTGTTTCTCCACACACACCCACACACCCACCAGGAACTCCAGCAAATCTAGAGACAGAAAATTGATATAACAATGCATCTAGAGGAGAGCAGCAACCTGCAGGTACAGGAGCAGTTTAAAGGCAGGCCAAGGGGAGTGGGTGACAACTCTTTAGCTGAGCAGTGAGCTGGGACCCAGTGGGTTACTCTGGCATCAGCTTTTCCTTTGTCTGTCTGGCCTTTGTAAGACCAGTTTGCTGTGCCATTGCCTGCACATTTGGAACCTCTTAGTTGTTATTTTTAGGACCCCTTAAATCCAGCTACCCTAGAAAAAGGTAAAAAGCCGGAAAAAGACCTCCCACCCCCACGACATGAATGGTCTGCAATGCATATTGAGCTGTAGCATCTACAAAACAGCAGCTAATTAAAAGTTTGAGGTGCAAGATGTTCTGCAAGAGGCATTCAGAGCTGCAAAAGGCTTTGAGAAAAGCTTTTCCAGGCATTACACCCTTTGCATCATTCTCCTGCTGATTTCCCACTCCATGGACTATGCTCAGGGGGAAGTAGTGTGATGCTTTTCCTTGCTTGCTGTGAACCACAGGAGCTGGAGCCTGAGGGCAGCAGCAGCTGGAGAGTGACAGGGAAGGTGTCAAATACTTCTTGGAGGCTGGGGCAGGAGTGGTTTTGATTCCCGGGCTGGTTCCCTCCAGGAGAGGGCACCACATGCCTCCTTTAAAAAAAAGGCAGATGTGGCAATTGGTGTTAAACGTGCCAGCGAGGGGCCAGAAGCATGTGGCACAGCAGAAGTGTGTTCTGGAAACTGAGTTGGAAAGGAATGTTCCATGGGCTATTTTAGGACTTGGAAATTGCAGTTTCCTTCTTCCAGGGTTACCGCCAGACTCACCAGCATTTTGGTGAGCCCTAAATTGGGAAGGAGGGAAAGATAAGAATTGATGTGAGTTCAGAGCGAAGGAAAAAGATGAGTTAATAAGGTCTGGCTCACTTAGAAATGCAGAGCTCATTTCCATCTCTGTAAGGACTCATCTTTGACATGCCCCAAGCTCTGCCCGGTCTATTTCTTGAGGAGTCCTGCTGTTGCCGTATTGTGGGCTCTGATGTGAGGCAGAGGAACTCCTCAGCCTGTTTCTAATGTGGATTTTTATTTTGATGGGTGTGATTGCTTGCACTGTGCTCTGTATCCAGCTGGTGATGTCTGCTCTGGGTGGGGAGAGAGAAGGATGATGGTAAAAACCCCAGGGGTGTTGAATTGTAGTTTCTCTGTTGGACCATGTCGTTAGAGTGGCTGGATACCCACTTGCTCTGTGGATTTTTAATCCATGATGTGATGGATGACCCTGTGAGGATATTCCAAGGTGATGCAATCTGGCTAATCATGTAAGGAAGGTGATAGTGACTCTGTAGGAGACTAATGGCTATGGTTGAAGCCAGGGAGGCAGATGTTAGGTGTAAAATAACTGCCTCAATGAAAACACATAGCAATAGTACTGGAAGAAAAAAAGGAATACTTTAGTAATGTTTTAAGTCAAATGTCTGCATGGAGTGAGAAGGTTAATCTTGCCTGTACCTCCCTCTGAAAGAGTAGAAAGAAAGAAAAGGCCACTTAAGGATTACAGCTGGACTGAGATGGGTTCTGATGGCATAAGGTAGTAACAGCACAGGGACATTAGTTAATTTGCAATATTTATTTTGCATGTTATAGCTCTAACTGCTTGACATGGACAAGAGCATGTGCTATTAGGGGAAGCATCTGGAAAAGGCTTCTTTAGGACTGATGCTAATTGTAAGGTAATACCCAGCCTGCCATGTTGTGGACTGATGCTGCATCTAAAAAGATGACAAAAAACTTTAAATTCACCAGAAGTCCTGCAAGGCTTCTGGAAAGAAAGGCTGCTTGGGCTAACACCTCTTGAATTAGCATAACAGTCCTGTAGCCTTGGTTTGTTGCTGTCTGAACTGTTGTGTGTTATTGTTTATGTTCTCTCACAATTATTTCATTTCACCTCAGATGGTGAAGAAATCATTGTATGTGCAGTTGATAAAGCTGTATAGATTGAATATTGTGAGATATTTCAAAGAACACAGAAGGTGACAAACCCGTCTGTGTTCACAGTACAGTTTTCCTGTATGAAAAGTTGACTATTTCTTGACTATTAGACAAAGTTGAGGGCTGAAGAAGGCAGCTGTTAACAGCTGTCCTGTGACTGGCTTGATTCTGAGCTTCTTGCTAATGGAGAGTAGCTCCAAAAGCAGCAGAAAGCTGGTATAAGCATGCTCCCTTACATTTAGGAAGAAAATGTTCTAGCTAGTGTTTTTCCAAAAGCAGGAACCTTCTGTGCCAGACTGCACTGCAGTGTCTCACAAGTGCAGGAAAGTCTTGCAAGTCAGCAGCCCTTCAGCTGAAGGTTGATCTCTGGTGTGCTGGCAAGGACTCGTAGAATCTGCAAAGAGGGGAACTAAGGAGCTTTGGGACAAATTGGTTTTCAAAGAGGGCTGTAAGCTTGTATTTTGATTAAACAGGAAAATGATGCTAAAGCAGGATCGAAACCCCACTGAGCTGGGACATGATCCCAGGCTGACAGACTTTACCCCTTGAAGGGTCGCCTGCTCTCCTGTCTTTCAGAGTCATGGCATTTCTGGGTGCTGTTTGTCCTGCTGGTGATAACTCCTTGCCCCTCTATACCCTGTTGCATGTTCCTTGGTGGTGTGACATCCTGTGGCTTGTTTATCCTTTTTCCTTGCCCACCCTTGCTGCTCCTGTGCATGCTTGGGGTCAGAAGCTCCTGCATGGGGACCAATGCTGCCAATTTATTTTTGCACATGGATGTTGCTGGACGAGCTGGGTTCTGAATAAACCACTACTTGTTTTGCACTTTGTGTGCATTTGAACTGGTTGGGACTGGGATGGTGGTGGGAGGTTTCATGTGTTTTTTGTTCGACTGTGTTTGTTTGTTGATTTTTTTTTTTAAATTTGAAGCAAAGAAGCTGAGACTTGCTTGAAGGTTTTCCAACTTCCTGTTTTTTCTGTTTGACATAACTTGCCCATCTATCCTTTGCCAACCCCCCAAAGGAAACAGGAAGCTTTCCCTGTCTGTCTCTGAAGCAACCAGCTGCCTGAACCAAAAGATCATGGAGAACTCCCAGTTTTTGCTTTTAAGACAAGGTGGTACTGGGGAACAGAAATTCTACTTTTTCCCTGCCTCTGTGGCCTTCCAAAACAAACTACACATTTAAAAATAGTGTCAAATCTAGTCCAAATTCCAGTTCTAGGCTATTGCAATTTGACTGCAAGGGGGCTCAAAGGGTTTGAAACTATTTGTTGGCAGATGTTAGGAATATTGGTGGTGGTTAGTGTGGGATCTGGCTTCCAGAAGTGATGCTGCACATTTTGAGACTGTTCCTTGTACCATGTTAAAATTATGTATACAAAACAAAAGGGCAAACCAGTTTAAGAAGAAGCTTTCATAAACTGAAGGAACAAAACAAATGCAGTACGTGTCTTGGGCAAATGAAATACTGTTGGACATCGTAGTCAAATTAGAGGTAATGTTAAAAAAAACCCAGGGAAAATAGTTTCACAGGGCATAGGTGAAGTAGGGAAGAAAGGGCTGGATTCTGGATCTAGAGGTTTAATTCCATTTGACTGCTGGGCTTAACCTGAGATGCAGCAGTTGTTTCTGTAAGAATCACTAGAGGTTTATGACCCTAGGCAAGAAGGCAGGTGCTGTGTGAAACCAGAGGACTTTAAAGGTGCTGATTCTAGGAGTGTAACTCAGGTATTATCTCTGTAGATAATCTTCCCTTGAATCACAGCTACCAGAGTCCTCCTGCTTCTCAGTGTGGGCAGGAAAGGATTCACTGCTCAGTAATGTGGCAGAAAATGTGCTGTAGATGCAATGTTAGCATAGATCTCAGCTGTGTAATCCTGCCCCAGAACAGGTAGAAGCTTCTGAATGCCCAGAGATCAGTGTTTCTTGGAGACATGAAGCCTTGAGCTGCTCAGATCCTGTGTCTCTGCTTGCAGATGTTGGTGAGAGACAGGGGCTTTCATTTAGTCCCTCAGCAAACAGGGGCTGAAATCCACTTCACTTCCTAGAGGACTTAACAGGTTGTAAGAACAGGCCATTCACCTGCTTGGCCTACTTCAGTGAGATGCTGAACATCTAGAGAAACTACTCATTTTATTGGAAAAACCCAACAAGCAAGGAGCAGTGCACTTATATCTGGGGTTTGCCAAAGCCTCCTGATAGGAAGAATGTGGTGAGTTTGGAGCAGGTCTCTGGTGAGACAGAGGGTTGCTGTAAGACTGAAAAGGGCTTTTCTCTAAAGCCCAGAGCAAGCAGAAATTAACTTTGCCTGCAACAGACCTCCAGGAACTTGGAAAAATCTGTCTGCAAGTCCAGCTTTCTAGGACTTCCCTTGAGAATATCTGGTAGCAAGGTGTATGTGTGCATGTGTACATGTGGGGGGCTGCAGCCCCCTTTTTACCTCCCTTTCCCATGTGCACGTGTTTCCTCTCTCCTGCAGCTCAGCCAGTACCCTCACCTGCGTGAGGAGATGGAGAGGATCGTCACCACCCACATCCGCGAGAGGGAAGGCAGGACCAAGGATCAGGTGGGGGTCAGGAGTGTGTGTCAGGGGGAAATTGGGTGGGGGACACCTTTTGAAGATGTCTGAGTTGGGCCTGAGCCAAGGGGAGTCTGGCTGCAGAGGGGATCTGATGAACAATGTCCAGGGCTCTGTGTGCCCCGTTAGCAGTGTCAGTCACTGACCTCCTGTCTGTGCCTCTCTTTGGCAGGTCATGCTTCTAATAGACATTGAGCTGGCTTACATGAACACAAACCACGAGGATTTCATTGGCTTTGCCAAGTAAGCACCCACCTCCTACTGCCTCCTCTTCTCCATGTTTGTTTCCTGTGGCTCTGTCCTGTAGCTGCTCCAGTGAAGGGGGTGCAGAGGCCCTGGTGCAGATGCTATTGTCCCAAGAATGGTGCAGCTCTCAGTATTGCTTGTTTTTTCAGTGGCTCTGGATTGAAGGCTGGGGTGACAGTGGAGATGCATGGAAGGGAGTGTTACAGTATTAGATTTGTGCCAGAACAAAAAACCCCAGCAGCTGTGGAGGGTTAGTGACCCAAATGAGGTTCATGTGGGAGTGAGAAGATGAGTAGTCCAGGCTGAGAGAGATGGCACAAGATTGGGTTATTAAGGCTTGGAAGCCAGTGGTGGGGGGCCCCAAGTGACTCTAGCAGCTATCTAAAGGGAGGAGGATTCAGGTGATCAAGAAGAGCCTTAGAAGTTTTGAATGTCTCTGCTGTTGTTTTCAGTGCTCAGCAGAGGAGCAGCCAGATGAGCAAGAAGAAGGCAGCTGGTAACCAGGTAGGCCAAGTTCCATCTCCTTCACTGCTGCAAGGAGGACATGTTTGCTACCTGGAAGCTACCAGGTGGACAAGTGCTGGGCTGGATGCAGCACTGCTCTAAGTTGTTTTGTTGTGTTGCCTTTTTTTAAATTCATCAAACTGTTAACTGGAGCATAGTGGTTTAGGCTACATGCAGTCAGGAAGAACTGAGCATCTGGCAGCAATGGAGGGCAATGGCAGCTTGATAATCAAGATCTGGTCTTGCTTTTCTGGTAGAAATCCCTATTAATTAAGGTTCTATAAATTCCTGTTTGTTCATCCCCTTCACTAACTGTGCCAACTCTCCTGCCAAGGTGAGAGGTACAGAACACTAGGTCTGAACTGTTAGAGAATTGTCCTTTCTAGTTGTCTTTCCCATGAATGGTATCTGCTTTCTGAAAAGAGATTTCAAGAGAGTTCATGGACTCTTTTTCTGAAAAACTTCACTGGAAGTGTATAAATCTCTGTATAGGGAGATAGAGGGTGATGATAGCCATGGTTGCAGTGGGTGTGTATCAGAACACACCCATGGGAGAAGACAGCAGTGGAGGGGAGGACTTCCTTTAATCCTCCAGGAACTGTAAAGAGTGTACACAGAATTAAAAAGATACTAATGACACTTTGTCAACAACTTTGTCCCAGATTTGCTGGGGACATGGCAAGGCTATCTTGGCTAGAAGATCTTGGAAACAAAGCCTTAAAAGCAGCTTCATAGAGAATGGAAGCAAATGCTTTTGCTTAGTCTTTTAAAAAGACATTCAGTGCTGACATCCATCCTCTCCATAACAGAATGTTGGCCACCTCTCCCTGGACATGGCATTGCAGAGTGTTTCACATTGTTGGCAGGCAGGTGTTCTCAGCAGGCTGGGCTGGCCAGCCAGCCATTTTGGAGCAGCTGTAGGGAATCCCATCCTCTGCAGTCCCCACAGTAGAGCTGAGCGTAGAAGAGTGCAAAGGGCAGACTCTGGATCTACCTGTAAAGTGCTTTTGCTTTCCCATTAGCAGATTTATTTTGGGATGGGGGTTGCTTGTGTTAACACCTGGGGTTAAAGATTTGGTACCAGCTTCCAATTTATTTTATTTTGTTTTTGAGCCTCTCTTATCCTGCTCCAGCTTTCCTGGTAATAATCTCTCCTCTCTTTGCTCCTCTCCTGCTCTCTGCTCTGCTGCTGTTGCTATGGTTCCCCTTTGCAGGATGAGATCCTGGTGAGTAGAAGGCCACTCAGCAGGGTGTGCTAATGAACATTAATGTTGCATCTGGGAAGGCAAAACCAGGGCATAAACACATTATTCCCTCTGCTGCCAAATGGGGAGAGGAGGGCAGCTGGCATTAGACACAGATGAAGCAGAAATGAGGTGGAAAGGTAGTATGTTGAGGAAGAATTCAGAACTGCGGGTACATCTTTCGAGTGGGTGGAGATAAAAAGCAGCAATCCAAGGATGTGTAGTTCTGTTCCACTGCCCCCTCCTGTCCACATGGAGAGTAGGACTAGTTAGAGCTTGAAAGGCAGGAGCTGAACATCTGAGGCTCCTTAGTTTGCCTTTACAGAGCAAATTGCCAATTAAATGATCCTGTACCTCCAGGGCAGGTAGGTAACCAGCCCAACTGGGTAGGTTGCTCACACAATGCAACCAGCAGAGAGACAGTGCAGTCTCATGGTTTTTCCATGCCAGGAAGTTTTTAGCAAGTATATCTATACAACACAGTGCAAATAATGCATGCAGATGTTTCTGGGTGTGAGTAGTGCAGTGATAGTAAAAGCTAATGCCCTTAAGCTGATGCATACCTGCATTTGATTATGGCACGTGTGGAGTTCTAAGCTAGCGCTTGGTGAATAGGAGTCCCCTAGAGAGTAATAGCCTGGCTTCTTTACAGACTAAACTTCTAGGAACTTGTCTTGCCCAAGGTTGATATGACTGCCCAAATACCTGGGTATGCTGAAGTCCAGGGTACTAATTCCAGATGCACCATTTTGTTCTGTTATCCTTAGTGACTTCCTTCACTAAACTCAGTTCTTTCTGGGGTGCTTGGCTGTGTCCTGAACTAGTTCCCCCTACCCTGAGTTGAGTGAAGCACTCCACACATGCACAAAGGTGTGCTGGTGTCCTGGTTTTCTCTAGGTGTGGCCTTTTCTGGGTGTTTTGCTGTGATTTGGTGCTTGTAGGTTGTGCCAGTGTCGAAGGCACTCCTAATGTAGTTCTTTCTGTATCTCTTTCCTCTTGGCAGAGGGTAGAATGCACAGCACTGCCAGGTTCCTTCCTGCCTCCTTTTTTTGCTATTCCTGGCCCTTTTGGGGCAAGGACCTCCTCTGGCCAGTTGAAAGGGGGGCTCTTCTGGCAGCAGCAGAGAGCACCATGTTCCTTGTCTTTCCATACTGCTTTGCATGTAGGGATACCCTTGGATCCCTCCTCTGTCACCTGAGGCCAGGAATGATTGTCCTTGTTAATGCTCACTGCTTCCACCCCCTCAGGTGATCCGGAAAGGCTGGCTCACCATCAACAACATTGGGATCATGAAGGGTGGCTCCAAGGAGTATTGGTTTGTCCTGACAGCGGAGAACCTCTCCTGGTACAAGGATGATGAGGTGAGTAGCTCAACTCTGCTGCTTGACTATCAGGCATCTGATGAGGACCAGCACTTCAGGTCACTGGATATTAGAGCTGTATCTTCTGAGTGCTGTCTGCAGCTTGTCACAAGCTGAAACTATCCTTGGGCCAGGCTCCCCATGGCCTCAGTACTGCTGAGCATTTCAGAATTGATGTGAATGTGGCTTGTTTGACGCACAAGGAGTAATATTTATGCTTGAAGTTCTGGCTTAGTGGGAAGTTGACAGGCATTTGGAATGAATTTGACCTTTATTCGTTTTGCTGTGGCAGCTGTGATCATCAAGGGTGTGATGGGTTAGTTCCAAGATGTGGACTTTTAGGCATTTGTGGGGCAGCAGTGAGTTTTCTGAAGGCATGTGGCAGTGATTTCATGCATCTCCTGGTTCCAAGAAAAAAGCTCTCTCAGAGCAAAGTGACAGGAGCTGTGGACCTGAAGCTCTAGCTCAGGTGCTGGCTCCTTCTGACTTCAAGTAAATTAGTTAATCTCCCCCAGGTCCAGCTCTTAAACATGCAAAGTAGGAATGTCTTTTTACTGATTCTGTATTGAGCATGCCAATATAAATATAATGTATTTTAAATGTTATAAAGAAAGTTGTTTGAGTTGTAGATGGTCAGAGTTCTGCTGATCAGAAGTACAGTGGTGTGTGGAATATCACTGATAGGAACATGGTCCTACTCTGTAGAGTTGCTTGATAATCTTGAATATCAGCAATTCTGGCAACATGCTGTGATGTGTTTCTGCTTCAGTGGGAATTGGTATAAGCAGACAGAATCGTTCCAGCTGAAATCACTGTCAACAGCATCTTGCTTCCTATGCAAGACAAAGGTAGATAATTGTCCCTTTTGATTACTTTGAAAATAGAAAGAATAGCTGGATGGTTCTAGTAAGGATGTGATTGAAAGGTTTAGTCGCCTCAATGTGCTGGGAGATGAAAAATGTCTGGTATGTAGTTGTAAGCTCTGAGTTGATTAGGGTTTCTGATTGCAAATGAAGAAACTTCTCTGCTTCTTATTGTAGTTTGTGTCCCTCAGGTGTTCTGAGGCACTCACTATTGTGTCTGGGAGCTGCAGCCAGGACTGGATTCTTGTCTAGTTGCTATCAGTGGGCCTGTTTCCTTCTCAGCAGGTAGAAATGATGACAAATACAGTGATGAATCAGCCTCTAAATATTGCTTTCTGTATGGAGATGACTGCTGTGCTGCTATGGATGAGCAGGCAGCAATTTCCTAATTAAAGAACCAGGCATTGAAATGGCTTTCTCTAAATCAGTGTGTCTCTGCTGTAAGACCCCTGCCCTTTGTGTTCAGAGTTGCTTGGGGAGGCTTCCCTCTCCTCTGGGCTTCATATGCAGGTCGAGTGGTTATAAACATCAAGTAGTTTAATCAAAGCCAGCTGCTACATCTGTATTACAGAGATGATCAGAATTCCCTGCTCTTCCCCCAGGGAGTGGGAGGGAGGGCGGGCTGCAGTGGGGATGTATAAACTGTTGATAGATTCCAGTTGCCTGGGATGGGGATTGGACCTCCCTCCCCTCCTGAGGGAGGGCAGCCTTGGGGGTTGATAGCAACTGGAGGTCTGCACCATTTCCCTTCTGCAGAGCTGCCTAATGAAAACAGTTCCCTGCCAGCCCCTGTCCCTTAAACACAGAGAACCAGCACCAATGAGGTCTGAGCTGCCTCTGAGAAAGGAGCCTTTGTTTTCAACTGAGTGGGAGCAGGGGGGAAAGGGAAGTGTGTGTTTTATTTGCTTCCTCCCCAAGTTCAACTCCTTGATCACTGGCTGTTGTGAGAGAGAAAGGAAGCAACGTCTGCCTGGACTCAAATATTGAATCAGGCTAAAAGTTGGTGCATTTGATGGGCAGCTGGGAGAGCTTTGAGCATGGGGATTCCCATCCCAAACCTCAGTGCTCCATGGAGCTGACTCAACGTGCAAGAGCTGCTCACAGTGCATGGTCCCATGTCAGGGGATTTTTACATGTCTGTTACAGAGCTCTCCTTCTTCACCAGTTCAGGAGAACTCACGTGCTCTTCAGGTCCTGAAACAGTCTCATGTGTTTTGAGAGGTTCTACACCATGGTCTTTCTTTGCTTCAGCTCTGGAAGGAAAGGGGAGGCTGTGTCTGCCCCACCCTGCAGTTTTGTGGGCTCTCTTGTCCTAGTTCCCCTGTGCTCTGGCTGCTTTCCAGAGGGAACAAGGAGAAAGCTGAATCTGCCTTTTGTGGATGGAAGTGCTGGTGGCAGAGCTGTGGGTGCTGGTGGGGGAAGGAGCAGGGTGAATGGTGTGTGGTGGGGTGAGGGTGAAGGCTAGGCCAGCACCTCTGGGGCCAGGAGGACTGGGGACACTGCCTCTCCCTGCCCTGTCCCACAAGCCAGGACCCAGTGTCTGTGGAATGAAGACATCTGGACCCCATTAGTGAAATACCAGTCTTTCCGCAGCACTGGCTTGTTTTTTTCTCTGCCTCTGAAGAAAGGAACTGAAGCTTAAAATGTCTTAAAGGGCCCAGCATTACATGTTAGCAGGGATATATGGCTGTTGATGCTCTGGAGGGGCCTGAAGGAGTGTGCTGGGGAATGGGAGGGGAAGGAAAGAGTGGGCCAAGCGGGGGTGGAAAGTTGGCTCCCCACTCTGCCTTGCTGCCAAGAGCATGTGTGTGTGCTCTGGGCTCTCTGTTTTTCTTCCTGTCTCCTTTCAATAAGTCAAACACTGGCCCCATGGAGAGTGGCCCCACAGAAAGCTTGGCCTCCCAGGCCCTGGCGACCCTCCTGAGGTACCTGCATCTCCTGAGCCCTGTGGGATCATGCTGCAGGCAGCAGTGGGAAGGAGAGGTGGGGAGGAGCCTGCTCTGGCTGCAGGCAGTACAGAGTGAGGTTTCCTTGCTCAGGGAGGCCATAGCATCCCAGTGGAGCAGCAGCACAGCACCAGAGCACACTGGCTGCTCAGCAAGCACCACAGTGGACATGATACAAGAATTTGATTTGAATACTCCTCCTGCCCAGATCCCTTATGAAATGCACAGTGCCTATGACTCTGCAGGACTTTCCTGCCTGCTGGAAAAGATGGTCTGTGAGCTTGGAGAGAGCTGCTGGTGATAGGGACCTTGTAGGCAGGATGGAATCAGCACTGTGCTCTGTGGTTCCTGCCAGTGAAGCTCACACCCTGCTCTGCAGGGTAACTGTTCCTTCTGGAGTGCCTGTGTGCCACTGTGTGCTGGAGTGTTTGCACAACTGGGTGGATGGATATATCTGCTGCTTCCTTTGGGAATTTGTGTGAATGTGCAGTTCAGATGGAACCTTTTGTCCTTATTCAGGTAAATCATGTACTAGAAATTTGGGTCTTGTGTGAATGGGTGGCTACATTAGAAGAATGACCTTATTGGCTTTGAGATATTCACATGTTGCATGCAATGTCACTGCATTTCAGACCTGTGTGTGCACAAGGAGGGATGGCTGCAGTTTCAGGTACTTTAGGTGCATGCAGGTGCTTTATATTCCTTACAGATCATGTTGATTCCTGATGCATCAGTTTTTGTTGGGCTTCTTCTCTGTCTTCATGCCTTCTCTTTTGCTTGAAACGTATTCCTGTCCTGGGGAAGTGACAGGCACTAAATAGCTGTGTATTCTGTACCTGTCAGTATCTCTTACCCAGTTCTAGTTTACAAATAAACACATGGATCAGTAAAGACTTCCCCCCACTGTACACATGCACTTCCCTCTTCTCTGGCCCCTTCCACTCCCCAGTCCATGTCCTTGAGGCCCTGATCAGGTGGTAGAAATCCTTTTTCTTTACTCAAATGCCCCCAGTCATCAGAAGTTTGCTGGGATGAGTTGGCTACAGTCAAGTTTTTGCATCCAGCTTGTTTTAAAGAGCATAGGAGCAGGTCTGCTCTAAGGTGGTTCCTCTCCTGCTCTCATGCTGCTCTCAGGTGCTCTCTGGAAAATGTTCATGTTCTTTACATTCTCTGTGGAGCCTTTTCATTCATGCACTTATCTTTTTTCACAAGTGTATGTTTTCTCATAATCTTACTCAGTTTTTATCAGTCCTCATTTATGCTTTCACTCATTTCCTCTTCTTCCTCTGGCAGACAAACATCAAAGCAAACACAACATCCAGAGCATCCAAACCTCCAACTTTGAATCCCTTGTAGGTTTTTCTTTGTATTATGACCTATATTCTTTACAGTATGAACTCCCCTTTCTCCAGTCACCTTTCTGTGCTTGAACCTGCCTTCTCAGGTAGCAAAGCACACCTCAGTTGTGACTCTGACAGGCCTGTGTATTTATTTCTGCATTTGCAAAGCTTAGCATGTGAAACACGAGCCATCCTGAACACAGCTACCGTGGGACAAGCACATGAAACTGAAAGAAATAAGAATGGAATGAGAGAGACAGAGCAGAAATGAGAGGGTTGTGAGCAGGCAGGTAGAAGTGATGATCAGGCATGGCTCCCAAGGGTTAGACCCTCCCAGGCTGAGATAGGAGTGACCTCTGCATGCAGCCATCCCCAGAGCCCACCCTCCCCAAGCGTGTCCCTCTGCCGTGCAGGTGTTGCCGTCCCCGTGCAGCACTGGCAGGGTGTGGTGTATCCCAGCACAGCCTAACCAATGTGCAGACTACTGTACAATCTCGTAGTCCTGAACAGGTAGTCTGAACACTGGGCAGACGGAGTGGAGCCTCTGCGATCTGCTCTCCGGCAATCAGCAGCTCATTAGTCCTCTCCCCTCCCTGCTTTTGGGATGGGGTTGTGCGGGGCAGAGATGGGGTGAACGAAAGTCCAAGTCCTGATTGGAAAAACATCCTCCTCTGGCAGCTGGGGGAGAAGAAATGTTGCTGCTCCCTGCATGTTTCCAATTTGGAGCAAGTCTCCAAGCGCCTTCCTCTTCCAGTGCTGGTGTCAGGCTGGTACCTGGATTCCACCTGGGAGATGCTGCACCTTTTTAGAAAGAGAAAAAAAAAATCGATTACTGCAGTTTGAGGAGGCAATGCTGTGAAGTCTTGGCTGTCACCCAGGTGCGCAGAACTTGTTGCTTCATTCAACTCCTTTTCTTCCCCATGGAGCTGTGTGGGAGGATCCTCAGGCCCCATGCACCCTCATCTCCTGTCCTGAAGATCAGCGGGTCCAGAGCGAAGCTCCAACAGAACCAGCCTTTGCTTCCAAGCCCTCCAGAAGGTCCTTGGACAGGGTTGCAGAAGGCAACCTTGGCCAGCTGCCCTTGCAGCTCACCTCTGGCTGCTGCAGGAGCAATCCACATCCCTTCTTTCTCTCCCCCCACTACGCCCTGGCATTGCTGAGCCTCCCTCCCTCTTCTGGTTTTTGCTCCCTCCCTTCTTGCTTCCCTTCTGTCCTTCTGCCTCACTTGACGTGGCAGTGGAAAGCTAACTAGACTCGAGGGAGGAGCTTGCTGGCTGCTGGGAAGGCAGAGTTTGGCAGGAAGTGAGCGGCTGACGGATGGGGTTGCGCGGGGGAAAGGAAGGTTCCCTACCCTGCATGGAAACTTGAGGAATGCTGTCGCTTTCTGTGACGCCTGGCTCTCCTCTAGTGATTCCAGATGTTAGTCCCTGCCCACACGATTTGCTCCCTCTCCCTGTGCTGCAGGGATAAAGAGGGCTTCATTCATGTGTCTTCCTTCCAGGACTCCTTCTCCTGGTGTGGATGGTGAAGATTTGTTAAGACCAAAAATGTGAACACTTTGAACTCCCATCTTGGCACTGTGGGGAGGTGTAACCTACCCTCTCTCAGGGGTGTGAAACACTTGGTGTGTGTCTGTGTGTGTTGTGCTTTACCTTACTAAAGCAAGTCAGATACTCTGGGATGGTTCATCCCTGCCCTGGCACAAGGACAGGGGCAGGGAGAAGTGCTGGGTTGTCCTTTGTGAAGGCTGGTGGGCATTGCTGTGACATCAGAGGGGTCGTGACAGTCAAGTTTTGGGCACTATAGTCTCTCTCAAGCAACTCAGGTTTCTACCTGTGCTTCCTCATAAACCCCCTGATGGCTTCCTAGGGTTGCAGTTGGCTGCAGGTTTAAATCTGCTCATTATTTCAGCTGATGTGAATAAAAATCTTTACTTTAGTGGAGGTGAGTTAATTACCATTGCTGTGCTTACTAAGCCAACAGTAATGGTTGTGATTAATCATGAGTCCAGGTCTAGTGTCTACAGAGCTTTTGAACTAAATCAGCTTAAAATCTTAGGATGTGTTGTTTAAGTTAAACTTAAACCAAGGCAGCTTTCTGATGTAAACAAGCCATTACAGCTGCTCTGCAGCTTGGGGGAGGAATCATTCCTATAAATTATGCTCTGAGGGCAAAAGTGACACAGGTGGGCTCTGTCTGGGAAAGATGGTCTCAAGATGTGTGTATGTAGTGGGATGACCAGGGCTTCCTGGAGGAATCACATCTCACATCCTTTACTTGCTAAGACAAGAAGCAGAAAGCAGTTGGTAACATCTTGTTTGGGGGAGTGGAGTGGTTGGTTCAGCTTGAAAAGCTCAGCTCACTTGCTTTCAAATATTCCAAACTGTTTTTCAGAGGCTTTTTCCTAATAATCTTTTAGTGTGCATGTATTCATGCAGTGTGTTTATTATAAATTATGATGTTAATGTTTCTCCATTGGAGTAGAATTTTATTACTGGAATTCCCAAAATGCTGTGCATGTGTTTAACAGAAACAATTTTGCTGAAACTCCAGGCATCTCTGGGGCAGGTTTGTTTACCTGTAATACTTTACATCTTACAGGAGAGAAAGGTGATTACGAGGTTTAAAGCAAGGTGAATTTCTCCTAATTTCACACAGCCCCCAATTAAAGCAATGACAATGTCTTCTCCCACATGCACAGACCCTTGTCTCTGTGCAGAAGAAGGTGTTTGTCATAACAGCTACAGGGAAACCTTTAATTAGTTTATTTATGCTCCAAATGCAAACTGAGATCTGATAATTCTGCCAATTACTTTCTTTTGCTGTGAGTGCCAATTTCCAACCTTAGGGAGCCCACACATGCATCTGTCAGCTTCATTTTGCATGTATCCAAGAGCAGGAAAATCTACTTTGCTGCTGAGGCAATCCAGGTGAATGGAGGGGAATGCTTGGAGTCAGGCTGGCTTGCTGCCTGCTGAATTCTGTGAACTTCTGGTAGCTTATTACCTACAGTTTAGCAACAAATAATTCAGGTGATAGTGCAGATTGTTGCTACATCTGGCCAAAACCTATCTCTAGGATTTAGCCACCATAAGGAGATGTGTAGCAGCAATAAAGGGCGTTGGAACATCAGCCTGCAACTGCAGCATCACTTTTTTCCTGCAGTTATTGTGCTTGCCACCCCACAGCTGGAATGGCTCATGGATCCTGGTTGGTTTCCTGGCCATGTGTATTTTCTTTCCCTGGTAGATGCAAAGTACAGAGCCATATGGCTGTATTCTGCAATGTGCTGGGGGTGGGGGAGTAATCCTCTGGCACTTTTCCTGCCTCTGCAAGGAGCTTGCAGTCATCTCTTTCTGCAGCTCTCCATGCAGGCTGAGACTCCTGTGGGGAGCAGCAGCCCTGATGAGGGGTGGTTACCCTGTGCCTACAATATTCCCAAACCAACACTGAGCAGCATCTTCTGTTTTGTGCAGTCTGGGGGCCTCTGCCACACTTCCCCTTGGCCTCATGGCTCTACAGATGAGCTCACAGCCAACAAGCACATTTTATATAACACATACTCTGCTGCTGAGGGACAGCTATGCCCGATTTTTTTTTCTTCTCCTTATTGCTGAAGAGCTATATGAGCAACATAAGCCTCTTGGGATCATATTGAGGACTTCAAATATAGGATTTCACAAACTACTTTCCCATTTCTGTCTGTCCTGGCTCTTCCTCCTGACTCCAAGTCTGGAAAGCTAGAGAGAGAGAAGCCCTTTTCCCCTCTTGGCCAGGATGCTGCTCAGCCATAGCACACCCTGCCAGATTGCTAACGTATGGGCAGAGTGCTCAGCCAGAGTTTTGAGAGGCTCAGCCCTTGGCAGCTCATTCCACACTTTCCTGTCTCTACATTCAGGAAATGAAGTCAGATTGTTGATATAAAACAGGCTGGGTTGAAAACTGAGAAGCTGGAAAGGCTGAAGTGGGGGACTGGGAAGGGGGAGGTGTGGGGAGATGGGGAGCAGCAGGGGCTCCTTGCATCTTGCCTGGCTTGGGGGCTCCTTCCCTTGTCCCCATGTCCTCCACTTGATTGCTCTTGCTACCTCCACCTCGAGGACTGATAAGTTGTGCTGGCACACAGATATTTTGTCTTCTGTTGTCTGTGGCAAGATCAGCATGTGGAGATAGTGCTGTCTTGATCACGTGGCAGCATTTATGTGAGAGCTTGGAAGGGGTGAAAGTTGAAACTCTGGCAAAGAGCATGTTGTTTCCATATCAGGGACATGGAATTCCCTTACTTTTTGACATTTTTTTCCTGAAGAATGACACCATTGCAGAACTTGTATGGAATTATGTGAGCTTAATGCAGAAGGTTTTCCTCAGACATCTTTAACGTCAGCAATTTTTGTTTTATTTTGTTGCGTGGTTTTTTGTGAGAGGTTTTTTTTTTGGTGGTTTGGTTTTTTTTGTTTGTGGGTTTTTTGTTTGTTTGGGGTTCTTTTGTTGTTGTTTGTTTTGTTTTGATGATTTTTGGTTTTTGTTGGGTTTTTTGGGGTGTTTTTTTGGGGGGGATGTGTAGAGGGTGGTTGGTGGGGTTTTTTTACTAGCCCAGGGACTGTGAAGTGAATGCAGGGAGTTCCAGTTAAGTGAGGCTGCAGTGAGGATGGTCCGACTCAGCCAGGGACTCAGCAGTTGGTGTTGTTCTCTTCAGATCACTAGTTCAGCCTAAGTCAGAATAATGATAACCCAGAGTAACAGAAAACTGCAAGTTCTTTGTGGCTCACAGAATCTGAATTAGTCTGAGTAGCTCTGAGAGCAGCATGTGACTGACTGATATCCCATTAGAAAAATGCCTGCCCACATCTAATTAAAACTCATCAGCAGTATTAGAAAGTCCAGGGAAATTTGCTTGGAAGAATTCTCTTATTTTCATGGCCTGGCATCTTTGAAAGGGAGTCTGGGAGCAACCCAAGAGATCTCTTCTGTTTTCTAGATGCTGTTTTTTGGGATATTCTCATTGCATATGAATTGTAGTGAACTGGTATGGTTTTCTGTTTGGAATATCTCAGTACTGTGAGGTGCTGATATCCTTAGCAAACTCAAGCCAATTTGGCTGAAGCTTAAGAGGATGTTAGGCTGGACTTGGAATTGTCTGGGTGTTAGAGTTCAGCAGCTTTGTCACTTTTACCTGCTCCTCTGCCCTTCCCTTCCTGGTCAGCTCTTCAGGATCTCTCCTCACTGACCATCTTTGTTTTCCATCCTGTTTCCCCCAAGAGTGATCATGTTGTTTCTAGCCAAAAAAAAGTCTACAAACACACAAGATCTCACAAGGGGACAGTCTCACGTGCTTGCTTTGCACATAGGAGTATGCTCTGGGTTTGGCTTAGTCTTGGATAGCTGCATTCTGCTTTTGGAGACCAGTGTGAGGGCTCCCTCTCCTGTTGTGCTGGGGTATTATTCCCAGCTGGAAAAGGATGCTTCAAATGAGGGCCTTAAACCAAATTCAGTTCTATTAATTTGCTGTAGATCCAGATCTGAGACTAAGCAGGGGTTATAATTTCTGATTTAACTCTTACATTTGCATTCAGAAACTAAGATCAAGTTTTGATATTTTTTTTAATGGAGGTGAAGGGTTCACAGTAACTAATAGAGTGTAGGACTAGGACAGTGATATCATGAAGTAACAAAATCAGCAAGTCAAGTTTTCTGAAGAGGTAAATTTGAGATGTGTGTGTATATGTGTATATATATATAAATATATATATAAACCAGATCTTTAACGATCAAGTTTTGATATTTTTTTTAATGGAGGTGAAGGGTTCACAGTAACTAATAGAGTGTAGGACTAGGACAGTGATATCATGAAGTAACAAAATCAGCAAGTCAAGTTTTCTGAAGAGGTAAATTTGAGATGTGTGTGTATATGTGTATATATATATATATAAATATATACATAAACCAGATCTTTAACATAATATTTAACATCAAGGTTTATAGACACTTAACTTCTGTATCAAACCAGCTTCTCTATTACATCCCTGGCTTTTCCTGAACTTGGATTGACCCCTCTGCTAAGAAGAGTGGGATCACAGTGCTGACCACAGTCTGGGGAAGTTGGACATTGCTGTGCTGGTGCCTGGTCCTGGAGGAGTTAATGGGACGGGGTTGTGCTTGCCTTTGCACATCACAAAAGCAGTTGGGAAGGACAAACTCTTGTTTCCAGCTGTCCCCTTCTCTCACAGACTCAAGGAAACAGAGGTCCTGGGTCTGAGGCTGGCTCTCTGACGTGGGGCCCTGTTGCTGGTACTCCATGCTGGCAGAGCAGAGGTGCCCCTGGAGCAGGGAGTGACTTGCTCCTCATTCCCTTTTCAGGAGAAGGAGAAGAAGTACATGTTACCAGTGGATAACCTGAAACTGCGAGATGTGGAGAAGGGCTTCATGTCCAGCAAGCACATCTTTGCTCTCTTCAACACTGAACAGAGGTATGCTCCCATCTCAGCACAGCAGGCTGCTGGAGCTGGGGACAGGATTTTTGTAACAGAGTAGGGATGAGTGTGTTAGGATAGCTGTCCAGGAAAGATGTGAGTGTCCTTTCAGGACAGCCACTTCTGTGGAGGTGGGAGGACTTAACTTCATTCCTTCTGATCTTACATATATGTATAATTTTCCTTTTGTTTGCCAGTGCATGGCTTGTGGTGTGAACTTAACCCTTCAGCCTTTGGTGTGACTGAAGCTGCGAGATGTGGAGAAGGGCTTCATGTCCAGCAAGCACATCTTTGCTCTCTTCAACACTGAACAGAGGTATGCTCCCATCTCAGCACAGCAGGCTGCTGGAGCTGGGGACAGGATTTTTGTAACAGAGTAGGGATGAGTGTGTTAGGATAGCTGTCCAGGAAAGATGTGAGTGTCCTTTCAGGACAGCCACTTCTGTGGAGGTGGGAGGACTTAACTTCATTCCTTCTGATCTTACATATATGTATAATTTTCCTTTTGTTTGCCAGTGGTGTGAACTTAACCCTTCAGCCTTTTGGTGTGGTTGCCTCAGTCTGCCTGTGGCTGGGATATGTATTTATAAATCAGTGTTCTTTGTGAGTCACTAGGGAAATCCATAGGACCTGGGAGGGGTGGAAGAATCCAGCAGCAAGCAGAATTGAAAAGGGAATATTTTTTACTCCTTGTTGAAACATACAACTGATTTGAGAGCAGTCAAACTTGATAAAAAAACCTTTCCTTTTGCAGAGTCATCATGAGGTTCCTAGCAAGGGACCAAGTGTCTCTGTCTCAAAATGACAGGAGGATTCCCTAGTCATTGATATCTTTGTCAAATATGGGCAGATCTCTGAGTTGAGAGAGAGAATAATAAAATATGTGTCTTCCTGTCAGGAATGTTTACAAGGACTACCGGCAGCTGGAGCTGGCCTGTGAGACCCAGGAGGAGGTGGACAGCTGGAAGGCTTCCTTCCTTCGTGCAGGAGTCTACCCAGAGCGTGTTGGGGTAAGTGACAGCCATCATAATGGGATAAGGAGGAGCACAGCACGTGTCTTGAGAAGGATAGCTCCATCTTCTTGTGTTAAAAATAAGTCTGTGAAGGTTTTGTCTTTCCAGAGCTGAGAATCTTTCTGGTGCTTCCATTAGAGAAGCTTGAGATAAAGTAACTGGCAGCTTCAAAGGGAAGATAAAGTAGGAAAAGACTGCCTTGATAAATCCCTCTAGCTGTCTCATTTTGTGGATGTTAAATTCACAATATAAGGGTGACATTTAACTACTGTGACTACTAACTGGTATAGTAACCACTGAGCAGAGGCAATATTCCTTTTTGGTAACTCTGTACAGCCTTATTAGGAGCTTCCTGACTTAGCAGTTGTTCTCCCTTTCCTTCCTTCAACTAATTAGGGAGGGATGTTATTTGAATTATTCTTTTGCTTTGTGGATACTCTAATATGCTCCTGTAGCAGAACTCTTATCTCTTCCCTTCCCCTTGTCCCACAGCAATTATTGTCAGCATTATTTTGTGCTTTAAAAGTATCTTCTAGACAATTGTGGTATTTGTTTCTGTTCAAAGCCTTTCCTGTTCCTCTGTGAGAGGAAGCTGCTATAAATAGTTTTCCTATTAGAAAAGTGATAATTGCTTTTCTGTTTGTATTTGTTGCTTATAATAGATTTATTGCATTCATCTGTCCTGTTACACTTGAATATTGCTGGCTTTGCCTTAAAGCATTTCCTAACAAACTGATAAGAGATTTTAAAAAGAGAGTTAGGCACTGGGCTTTAACAGTGACATGACTTCAGACTAGCTTTGAACCAGTCTGGACCTCTTAAGCACAGTGGCACTGGCCAACTGTTGCTGTGCAAGTGGAGGGGTGTGACATGGGAACCCTGGTCCCTGTCTCAAAAGCCCTGTAAGGAATGGCAGTGGCCCCTGCAGGTAAGAAAGTTGTCCTTTGTTGCTAACAATATGTTTCCTTTGCAGAGCATCCCACTTTTCAGTTTAGCTAAACAGTTCACTTGTTCCCCTTCCAGGGTGATAGAGGTACTGATGTATTTTTAGTGGGATTGGTCTTTTGCTTGTCAGTGCTATTATGGGACCTTCTCCAAATTCTGAGACCAACTAAGTTATTTTTTATTTTTTGTCCCTTTTTGTTTTAATTTTTTCCATGTATGCTCAAACTGACCTGCCAGGACAAGGACAAAGTAAGTCTGACCCCCTCTGCCTGTGTTGCCTCCTGGGGCTCTCACCAGATAGCTCTCTCATTTTTTTTCTCCTTTTGTCACAATTTCCTGAGAGGCATTTGCTTCTTCTCCCTCTCTGTACCCTCTGTTGGATTCCCACTGTCTCTGTTCTTCGTTTGAGTTTTCCTTTTTTCTTTTTATTCCTCCCTTTTTGTATGACTTCTGAATCTTGGCGCAAGCTTATTTTTGGTTTTTTTTCCTTACCCTCACTTTTTTTTTAAGTTGTCCTGTTTGACATCCATTTCCTTTACTTTGTTTCACACTGAGACCTTACATTCCTTCGTTATATAAGATCTTCTCAGCAAAAGCTCAAATGAACAAAAGAATTTGCCCTTTCTCATATATTTTGTGCCCCAAAACAAAGGAGAAGCCATTTCCTACATGGCAAATTGTTCAGACTAGGGCTGTTTAAAACAAAGATGTTTCATTATACAATCAAGTTTGGATGGATTTTTTTTTAAATAAGCATTGAGGAAGGCAGCAGCTCTTTCATGCTTCAATAGTTTGAAATTGATCCCAAATGGAGGAGCCTTGGAGATTGCTTGCTGTCAAACAGCACAGTCCAGGTTTTACCTTACAGAATAAACAATATACTTCAGGCAGACAGGAGCAGATTCATCTGCTTGGTGTGAAATAAAAGATAATTATAACTTATGATGCAGTAGTTGCAGTTGAAGTGATAGGAAACTTTTCTAGTTTATTCCATCTACTTGTGGTCAGCCTGAGAGGAGCAGTTGTTTCACTTCTCTGTATCTGTTTTCTCATTTGTATAATGAGGACAAAGATGCAGGATGGCAGAGAGCCTGGGAGACTTAATTTATGGTGAATGATTCTTGGTTTTAACTGACTCTGGTCATGGAAAACCCAGATCAAATGAAGAACCTTTCAGGAAGCTGTAAACATTAAAAAGTAATAATACAGCTTTGAGATGCACCAGAGCCATAAACTCTGAACATGTGTCAGGAGTCCCTGTTGCCTTTCACCTTTTCTTAATAACTTTCTACTAAGGGAGCAGCTTTATTGCTAAAATTTCTCAGTTCTGAGCTGGAGAAGCCTGTACAAACTGAGTTGTGCATTGACAATCACAGCTCAAAATGTAAGTTTAAATAATTGTATTTATTGCATGCGCTTCCTGCCTGTTCCCTTCTGCTCTTCTCCTATCTGTCATGAGAAGCCAATTTTGTTACACTTGAAGAACCAACGTTTCTCCTTTTTTTCTGCAGGCCAGTGAAGCAGAGGAGAATGGAGGAGATAGTTTCATGCACTCCATGGATCCTCAGCTGGAGAGACAAGTGGAAACGATCAGGAACCTGGTGGATTCCTACATGGCAATTGTCAACAAAACCATCAGAGACCTCATGCCGAAGACAATCATGCACCTCATGATAAACAATGTACTTACCTCACTGTGGTCAGTGGAGATGGGAGAGGAGGCGGAAAGGAGGAAAATAGGGAGGGAGGAAAAAAATGAAGGAAAACAGAAAGCAGCTTGGAAGGAAGAGGTGGGGACAGAATAGAGTGTTTTGGGGAAAGATGGTGAAAACTGATTCCCTCTCTCTGCTCACTTACAGACCAAGGACTTCATCCACTCAGAGCTGCTGGCAAACCTGTACTCGTGTGGCGACCAGAACACGCTGATGGAGGAGTCGGCGGAGCAGGCCCAGCGCCGCGACGAAATGCTGCGCATGTACCACGCCCTGAAAGAGGCCCTCAACATCATCGGGGACATCAACACCAGCACCATCAGCACCCCCATGCCCCCACCGGTGGACGACTCTTGGCTGCAGGTGCAGAGCGTACCGTCCGGACGCAGGTACCAGAGGCTCAGGGGGAGAGCCCCGCAGACCTGCCTGACGCCTCTTCAGTGCCTTGCTGGGGCCTCCCGCTGACACAGGGAGTCCTCCTCTTCTTCCTGTGGATGAAGAGTCCTGGGTGTTTCTGCTGGCGGGCTCCTAGGACATCCTTACAGGTGTTCTAAACCCTTGGGTTGGATGGGGCTGGCGTAGCTCTGAAAGCAGCCTGGTGTGGTCCTTGAAAGCCAAAGGGTGGTGTGTAAAGTGATGTGAAGCTAAAGAGAGAAACCCTGAAGGCAGAGTGGTGCCTGTGGTGACCTAGGGATCCCGGAGCTGTTGCTGCAGTTGAATGCCTTTGTTTGTTTGGCAGGTCCCCCACATCCAGCCCAACGCCGCAGAGGAGAGCTCCTGCAGTGCCCCCCGCCAGACCTGGGTCTCGCGGACCGGCTCCTGGGCCACCTCCTGCTGGTGGCTCCACGCTGGGTGGTGCCCCCCCCGTGCCCTCCAGGCCAGGTGCCTCTCCTGATCCCTTCGGGCCCCCACCTCAGGTTCCTTCTCGGCCTAATCGCGCTCCTCCTGGTGTTCCCAGGTAAGTCCTGAAACACTGCTCCATGCAGGTGGAGTGTGTTCTGGTTTTGGGTTGGAGCCTTGGCAGCACTTGGCCTGCCTGGGCCATGGGAGGAGAATGGAGTGCATGGTGTGGGTAGAGCCTTTGGACATTTGAATTGGATCCAGAGGCAGGAGCATCGTTGTCCTCTGAGATTCCATGGTATGGATGAGGCAATGCCAAGGCAGCTCTCGGAAACAGAGGGGCAGCTGTTTTTCTCTACAAGCCTCTATAAAGAATGTGGGAGAAAACCTTGAACCCAAGGTTTACAGCACTTGTACCAATGCCTGTAGTCACCAGATAAATCACAGTACTGGGGTGATATTCCCCTCTGTGTAGGGCTCCCCAAAGTCTGAAGTTGCCCCTTTTCTCTTGGCCCAGAGTTCTTCAAGGTGAGTTGGAAGACCTTCAAAGTGGTTCAGTTGCTTTCTGGCTAGGAGAGTATCACAGGATCACTGGCAGGGAAATGAATTCTTAGGCAGTTTTGTTGTTTGTGTAATCAACTTCAGCATTTTCCAGTCTAGAGGGTTCAAATCACACAGCTTTGCTTTCCCATTAGGAAACTCATTTCCTTTCCTGTTCAGTCACTTCAGACACACTTCAACATAGTAATAAGGGATTATCCTGTGCAGCTGAGTACGTGTTCCTGAACAGGACTTGGGAAGCAGCCTGGAACCAGGAATGCTTTTATGTTGGGTACTTAGTTTCCCTTGAGGAAGAGGAGGTAATTGCAGTGTAAAGAACAAACATAACTAGAAGCTTCCCAGTGACATGACAGAGGGAGCACTTCCCTTGTGGAAAACCCCTCTCCAGTGCGGGCTAGTGGCACAGGTCTGAACCTTTGTCATTTTCTGTGGAAATACCAAGCCTGTCAATGGTTGGGGATGGTGCATGGCAGAGTGGGTTCAGTACTCCTCCTGCGATAGTGCCCAGCTCATATTTGGTGCTGCCTGTTTGGAGGGAAGTGTTCTCTGCCAGGCTGCAGCCAGCCCAGAGGTGGATGAGTCCAGACAGCTTTATAGACCAGTTTCTGACTCTGGTGTATGCAAATGGTTTTACTTTCTTGGTGCCTTTGCCCCAGTCCTTCCTATGCACCTTGATGCAGCTCCCACAGTAACTTGTCCTCACATACCTCAGGTTGCCCTGGAGACTGTGGAGGCACCTATGGATGTCAGCATGCTTCTACTGTGTATTTTGGCTCCTGCTTCTTGTGACCCTGCCTTTCCATATACTGTTACTTTGTGGTTTTGTTTTCAGTATATTTATGCTTGTTTATGTCTCCATCTTCCTCCTTTCACTCAATTTCATTTCTTCACTCATGAAAAATATTCTATATACCTGGCCGTCATGATAGGATTCCCCAAATGGGCTGAAATGAATTGGCCTTTTTTTAAAGAAATCTGTCATAGCCTATCTTAATGGCTTTTCTGCCTTTTGCATGAGTACAAGGGTTTAAGGAAAGGTAGGAAAACAGCACTGGAGCAGAGAAGGAAAGAGTTTCATGCTTGACTGAGCAACCCCTTGGTTTAGGAGAGATGGTAGGTTGGATTGCATGCTACTGACTGCCCTGATCTGGAGTTGAGAATGTAATTCCAGAAGCTGTGAAGTGTGATGCTCATTCTCTGATCCCCCTCTCTGATTCTTCCAGTTGTTCATAGACTCCTCCGGATCCTGATACCAGCTTGTCATTTGAGTTCACTGATGAATGGAGAATTTCCAATGACAAGGGACTCTTTCTCTTCCTCTCCTGTATATAGAATAAGAATGTTCCCTGCTAGCACTTGGACTCGGGTCCTTCTGCCATGGGTGAACGAATGCCATCTCCATTGTTGCTTTTTTAATGCCCATCTTTCCCTTGCTAACCGGGCTGCGTGCGTGTGTGAGAGAGAACAAAGCTCTCGTGTTCAGCACGGGTGGGCTTTGCTGCAGGAGTTGGTGGTGTGGGGTGAACTCAAATGGGTTGTGGTGCCTGGGTGTGCTTTGTGTGCTCATTGATGCCTGTGTAGATGTTTGGTAGTTTTGTGCCTCTGGTTTGGGCATCTGATTGTATGAATGATGAACTTACACAAGTGTCATGCTAGCTCCTTTTTCATAAACATAAGTGTATAAACACATTTTCACATCTAATTACCACATGGTACATTTTTTTGCACAGAAAGATTTTCCTGCGTATAATTAAGGACACTTAAGACTTAACATCCTGCTTCTGTGCTCAGCATTTATTCAGTTTACTGTGGAAGTCCATATAGACAAATACATAATTTTGGCTGAAAGTTATAAACCATCCAAGATCTTACCAGTGTGCAATGGACTGCATTTAGGATTTGACCTGGGAAAGAATATTTAGGCTCTTTAGTTTAAAATCGTTTGATAGAGCCTGTGGGAAGAACTTGAAGGAGAATTAAGAAAGTTTCAGTGCGAATGACTCGACCATTGGAAAAATGTGTTGAAGGCATTAATGTGTTCTCCATTCTTTGGTATCACGAGGGCATAGGTCTGGGGTTACCTCCTGGCAGGGATGGTTCTCACTGGCTGCTCTGCTGGTCAGTACAATGGGGACACATCACTGGAACTCCCAAAGGGTTCTTGGACACACAGTTTCAAGGGACAAATTATCTCCTCGGTGATTTAGTGGCCAATGTCCATGCCCATGGCCAGGGTTGGAACTAGATGGTCTTTAAGGTCCCTTCCAACCCAAACCATTCTATGATAAGGTCTCAGAGCTGTATGACCTGAATTATTCAGGAGGTCAGAGTAGCTGATTTCATGATTTGTGACCTTCAGAAAAGCCTCCACCTGCTTTGTGCCATTTTAGATAGTGCTCAGGACTGCAAGTTATCTCTCTCTTTCCTGAGCTCCTTCTTAAACGCTTAATTTGGTCAGAAGATAGGAGTCCTCAGTGAGAGACTACTGTGCCCAGCTGGTGGGTGCTGAAACCTGGGTATGACACTGCTGTGAATGTCAGCCTGGATGTGAGGAGCTTGGGTGAGTGAGCAGCAGCCAGTAGGTGTGTGGACAGATGGATGGGGTTTGATCACTCCTGTGCACAGCAGGGTCTGGATGTGTGCAGAGACGAGGCTGTGAGTGTTTTCTGTGTGTCTGCAGTCCCCCTACTCATGCTGTGTTTGGAGGGGGATGTGTGACTGTGTCTGTGCAAGCACCTGTGTATCTGTTCCACCTTCCTGACAGTCTGTGTGGCCTCTGCCTTGAACTGTCTGAACTGCCATGTTGATTTCATGTTGTCTTTCAGAATCACTATCAGTGACCCCTGAGGACTGGCAGCCACGGTAGGTTTCGCACTCTCGCTGCGATGCATGAGTCACTGTGTCCCCATCCTCCAGCACTGCTCTGCAGCTCTCCTCTGCTGCCCAGTTCTTGTGTTAGTAACAGAGTCCCTTGTCTGATGAACCACCTCTGCCAGGATCTCATAAAGGGAGGAGTCTTGAACAGAAAAACTGGCTGATCAGAGCCAGAGCAGCTGCTTGAGCTGCAGGAGCTGGGAAAGCTCCATACCTGATTTAAGGTCTGGAGGACCCTTTCTCTGCTTCTAAATAGAGAAGGTGGGATGGGGGAATGAGCTCTGGCAACAAGGTCTAAACTCTGTGTCTTTCATTTGGCTTATATCCACACTGACTGTAAGATCAGCTGAATAAACTCTGCTTTGATTTGGTCTGTCAGCTCTGTTAGGATCAAGACAGAGACTTGGGGAGCTGATAGTTCAGACTCCTCTTCTTATATTCTAATGTCTGGCTGGAGAAGTGCTCCCATCCTCACTGTATCCCTAGTGCTCGTGGAAGTCAAGAGGAGTTTGGGTCATTAATATCAGGACTTCCATGTCTGAGTGCAGGGTAACTCTGACATTGAATGTTCCCTTTTATCCTTGTGTCCCATCATCAGATAGATGTGAACTCCCTTTGTTTGTTCTCCCCTTGACCTTCTACCTTCTAGGTTACTCTCCTGCTTCCATTCAAACTGTCTTCTCTCCTCTGCCTCCTGCCCCTGCAAGAGGAAGAGTGAAGTGATCTGTGTCCCTCAGACACTCTGCCCTGAGCTCCTGCCCATTTCCCTGCCCTCTCTCTCCCTGCATTTTGCAGCATTGTAGTGGTTCAGTGATGTAGCAGGGTGTGAGTTTGTGCTGTGTACTGCTCATCCTGTTAATGTCAGTGGGGGTGTGGAGAGGGACATTAGCAGATTCTCCCGAGTCCTTTTCTTGGGAACCTCCAGCCCTTATTGACAAAGAGGTACAGAGGGCAAAACAGGGCAGGTGTGGATTTTCTGGACCCCCCTCTCCCTTTCTCTGTGGGTGTTGTTTCATGACAGAGGAGTGGAGAAGCAGCAGCTCCTGCAGATTCCCTTGCTGCTGATTGTGGCAGAGAGATCTGGGGGTGAGGAGGACGTGCTGAAATCCTACTTTAATAGGAGCAGCAGAAGTTCAAGCCCCTGTTCTGGGGCAGGGGGTCTCAGCCAGCCCCCATCTTGCAGTGGATGGTGTCTGTTACTGCTGCACAGAACTGCAGTTAGAGCTGAGAGGTGCCACATTGCAGTGATTGCTCATGATTGACATCTTTGAGGACGTCATCGTCAACCCTCCTCATTGATGACACACTGCAGAGGTGTTGGAGCAATCAGCACTTTCCTCCCATATTCTGCCTACTGCAGACATCCCTGGCAGCCCTGGAAACATGCATCCTGGGTGAGCAACCTTGGGAAGGAGCCTTGCTGTTGTCTGTACCCCATTCTGGGACTCGCTGTTTTGGGGCAGTCTGTTTTTAATCTGGCATAAAGAGCACCAAGGAAATAAAAATTTTAAAAAATCCCACCAAATTATTTAAAAAAATACACTCAAAACCTTTTGTTGCAGTCCAAGGGAATAAACATAATATTTTCCCACCTCTGTTAGGTCCTTATCAACAGAACTCCCTATTAGCCCAGTGGTTCTGAGATGGGATTAGCTCAGTGTTCTCTCTGGGTATGGCCTGAAAGACTGACTTCAAAGGATGTGACAGTCACTGGAACTCATCTCCCTGGGCTCCTGCCAGGGCTCAGGTCTTCCTTCTTATGTACTGGAGACAGCCACAGGCTTCCCTGTGAGCAAAACTTTGTTCCTTGTCCTGGCAGAGAAAAGTGACTTTTCAGTGATATAAAAAGCTTGACTAGCAATGTAGTCTGACTGAAGCAGAATTTTTGGGGGTAAATGTTGCCTGAGAGACTTCTCTGCCCCTTTTAGTGCTGGTAAACAGTTTTCAGGCTTTTCTAACCTTACCAGGCAGATTCTGCAAGCATCTCCAGAAAACCTCAGCAGAAATAGCCTACAATTCAAAAAGTAGCCCCATACCTTCAAATGCTTTGAATGCTGAGAGAAGTATGTCTGCAAAAATAAATCATAGTACATAACAAAAGAAGCAGCCCATCTACCTGTGAATTGCTTGTGCTCCTTTCAGCCTTATTTATCTGCTAGGGTCAAGTGGCCACTCCTGCCACAAGGCTTCACATACTCTGGTGGCTTCAAGAATCTTTTTCATGTGAACCCTCAGAGGCTTTTAGCACAACCCGTGCAAACTCCTGAAATGCAAACAGTCCTTTCACCTTCTCAGAACATGCCTTCTAACATGGTAATGCAACAGCATCTCACTAAATGTTGAACTGAAGTTCTCTAGGGTTTTAATTCAGGTGCTGTTGCTGTTCCAGTGACAGTAGAAGCCACCAAAGGGTTGGTGTGGCTGCATTTACACCATGAGCACCCTTTAGAGATAATGCACAGATCCCACAAGTCATGAGGCTCTGGGGTTTAATAGATCTGGAGCAGTAAGTTCTGCTGAGGTTTAATAAACAGGACTGGAGAGTTGCTCTGGTTTATTTGCTAAATGAGGGAGCTTGCCCTGATTTATAGGAGTGTAACTCCTCTAGTGCCAGTGTGATTATAGACTGGTATAAATATTCTAATTTCTAGCAGTGAGTTGATTCTCTGTAATTTAAATCTTGTCAGTGTGGAATTATTGAGGCATTAATTCTGTCACACCTGGTGATCAGTGCAAGGGCTTCCCCTCCATTTGGTCTACATGCTGTTGGCTTTGCTCTTTGCATTTCAGTCAGTTTGGACCTTAAAACTACCCTGGCTTGGTACTGAACAATTTATTTGTCTTAATGAAACGTTAGCAAAATGCAGTTGAGGTCGCCGACACTGCAGGGAGCATACTTTAAAGGAAAAACAGATTGGACTCAGTTTTACAGAACACATTTTTATTTATAGCTTTCTTGCAGCCTGTAGTGTGAGACTGAAGTGATATTTCAGGTAATGAGCTGAGAGCCATGACAGGGGTGTTGTCTTGTATGTTTTTGTTGTGGCCTTTTTTTTCCCCAGTCCCTTACAGGAAGGAAATTGTAGAACACTTAATCCATGCAGAGGGCAAACACTTAAGTGCTGCCTATTTATGTAGCTAAAGTATCAGCAAAAGAGTTGGAACAGAATGGAAAAAATGTAGCCAAAGTTCCTTTTATTGAAGTAGAAGCTGCATTTGCTCTGTGCCAGAACTGGAAAACTGAAAGGTGTGAGCTTGCCCCTGACATCCAAGATCAGTCTCATGTCAGAACAAGGAATCTCAGGCTTGCAGTAGTTGAGGGCAGGGGTAGAAGGTGCTCCTCCAAACCAGCCAAGAGCCTCTGGCAGCAGCGCGTCTCAGAGGACCCCATCCATGCTGTGTGACTGTCATGTGCTTGATTCAGGAGCTCACTGTTGTCCATGCTTCTCCACTCGTCCCAGAGCCAGGGCACTTACTGGCAGTAAATCTCTGCACTTCCAAATTTCAGAGGGAAGCAAAACTGGCAGTCCAGGGGATTGCTCTGCTGCTGATCTGTGCTGTGCAGAAAGGCCAGTGCGAGGCCGAGGAGAAGCCTCCTCCTTTGTGGAGCTGCACTCTGGGGGTTTGTGCCTCAGGTTGGACTCTTTTGCTGGCTCAGGCAAAGTGGAGAAGCATGTGTGGTTGTGACTGCAATTGCTGTGCTAACCACAGTGTGTGTTCTCTTGTTTTTGTTTCCTGCTTTTTCACAGCAGAAGGGGCCCCGCCTCACCTACTCGACCTACCATAATCCGACCGGCTGAACCGTCCCTCTTAGATTTATAACTTGAGGCTGTAGACAGCTGGCGACGAGTGCCGTGCTGGTGGCTTCCCCATTCCACCCTCCCTTCCACAGCCACAGTCACTCCTCTCATCCATCCCACACCCCTGCCTCCCACCACCCCTCCCCGGTGTGTCGTAAAACTCTAGCCTAGTGATTGAGCTCTTCGTCCTCGCTCGTGCGTCCTGTATTGCTTTGTGAGCATAGAGTAGCCTTCATGCAGTGGCATGGATCCCTGAAGTACACAGGCTCCTTGGAGAGATCAGCCACAGGGACGTCCTTAGGTCCAAGTGGTGGCTGTCCGTCCAGTAATTCCACCTGCCTAGTCTAGCCTGGAAAAGTGTCCTGCCTGCACCAGTTAGCTGTAGCACCCAGGGCTGAGCTGTAGCTGTTTTCTTTCCTTGTAGTTTAAGACAAAAGCGTGACTTAGCAAAAATATACTGTCAAAACACATGACACCCGTTAGGAACAGATTAAATGTCCTGTGTATTAGCTTGACTTCTAAGGTGCAAAAATTTCACGTTGGGAACAGTGCAATCAACTTCCTATCAAAGCGAGGCAGGGAGATGAGTGGAGGGGGGAATCAATGGGCCAGCCCAGTCTGAGATGGCACACACCCCTCAGCGTGCAGGGGGCTCAGGACCTGCTCACCCTCGGCTCCCGGAGCCGGGCCACTCCTGCTGGGGGCACGCTGGCTCCTGCCAGCAGTTGTCTTGCATCACCATTTTTGGCTGACTTTCCTGAACCCAGCAGGGCGAGGGGAATAGACACGCTGCTCCCCCCTTGCAAACGGACAGCCAAATGTTTCAGGGAGTTCGCTGTGTGGTGTTTTGTTGAAAATATTTCTGCTCTGAACTAAGCACATCTTTCAGTGTTCTTGGGGTACTGTGGTGACTTCTTCCGTAGCCTTTTCTTGCATGTGGATGGTACGTGTTTGGGGAAACTTGTAACCATTGTTGATCACAACTCATCTTAAGGTTTGGTTTTTACTTTTCATGCTACATGTATTTAAAACAAAAAAAGACTTGAGAATTAAAAAATATATCAACCCTGTACATCTCAGATGTCATGTCTCTACCAGAGCTAAATGAACACCTGTGTTGCAGGCTGTCCTCCAGGCCTGACTGCTGTTGAAGTTCTCTCGTTTCAGTGCTATTACTCTAAATTTCTGTTGTGGATCCTCTATTGCTCTGATGCCAGTTCCTTTCTGTATTTTAACTATTGTTTTACTACTTCTCCTTCTCCTCCCCTTTCCCTTTTCCTTTTCCTTTGTTTTTCTTGTCTTTAACCTCCAGCCGGCCGGGTAAGGCCAGTCCCGCCCGCCCGGAGAGCCCAAAACCACCATTTGACATGTAGGCCTGCTCCCTCTGAGACTCTTTGCCTGCCTCTTAGCTGTTCTGTCCTGGAATGGTCTGACTCCAATCTCACACATGGCTTGTTTTGTTTGTAATTTGTGACACACACATATCAGATGTGATTGTAGTGAAACTGTTTTTGGGGTTTTTTTTGTTCGGGTTGTTTTTTTTTTTTCTCCTTCCCAGCTGCTTAAAGGAGTTAAACAAGTATATTGTAGTAATGAGAAACATATCTTTACTGTTATAAATATCTATAAATATATATATAAGATGAAAAATCTATATCTGTCCAGGTGTTAAAAGCCATTTGTGCTTCCATGTGAATTTTAGGAAATACTTAAGTAGGAAAAGAATATCTATATACATATATATATACACACACATCCAAAAAAGTTAACCAAATCCCAATGTTGAGTTTTTGAGCTGATTGTTAAATTCTCTGCTGTGTGCAGTTGGGTTATTGTATTACCCCAGACTTGTGGGTGAACTGTCTCAGTGCTGGTAGTAGCTGTGATGCAGTTTGTGATCTACCTGTCACTCTTGTTTATTGGATGAAATAAACTCTCATTTCTGTATAATGAAGGTCTCTATGACTAGAATAAAACCATCTCTCTTTCTCTTGCTTTTTCTCTGGGTGGTTTTCAAGCTGTGTTTGATTGTAACCTGATCTTTTCATCCCATAGAGTTTACAAGCTGTATGTTCAGTCAGGGGCTGTCACTGACAGGGAAGGTGGAGCAGATCTGCATCAGCCCTGAGTGTCCAGCAGCTGCACTAGAGTGAAACAGCTTGTCAGGTGCACAAAGGTAAATCCCTGTGCAGAAGGAATTGTGTGGAGGTGCTTCAGAGATGAGGCAGACAGAAGGTGGGCGTTTGCACACAAATTGTTTCTTAAAAGGGATTTTTGCCTGTAGTGCTTGTGGAACACTTTGTGCTTGTGGAGACATTGAGTGAAGGTCCAGGAATCACTCCTGAAAGCAGTCAGGGTAAAAAATTAATCTGAATCCAGAAATTGTATTAAATGCTAACCGAGAGCCACCTCTCAGGCTTGTCAGCAGTCTGTACAGAAAACATTTATGAAAGCTCAGTGAAAACATCACTGTCAGGGCAGGTGCTTAATAAAGAATTCATTCTTCTCCTTTTCTGGACAAATTTCAAGGTGGTCTATGCAAAAGAAATGCCTCTAGTCAGTGCCCCTCTGAATAAGTTTATTCAGAAAGCAAATTTGTAACACATTTGAGTCACCTGTGAACAGACCACAGACCTCCTTCACTGGTCTTGTTTTCTTCACAGTTCTAGAGTAAACACCCAATAGCTATTTATTCCTTTTACAGTAATACTCTGTCTTAAATCACAGCCCTTCCCCTTTTAGTTATGATACAGATTTATGAATGGCCTGAGCAGCTGCAAACACTGAAAGGCTTAGTCTCTCTTCAAGGAATATACAGTATTTTACACAGATACAGAATGTACATACCCCATGCTCTGGGGAGCCCAATCACTTGTGCTGAGGAGAGACTGACATCACTTGTGCCATTTAAATGAAAGGAGTTCAGAAACCAGCTTCCCCTGGGGACTCACAGGAAAGCACTGATGGCTCACACAGCACAATCTCTGCTGCTGAACAGACACAAATCTGTGTTCCTGTGCTTCTGCCTTCTATCTCGGCAGGTAACAGGGTGGAACAGCAGCCCAAACTCCTGTGTTTGATTACATAGCTGCAATGATCAGGTCCATTTATCCTCCCCTGTGGTTTCCCTCAAAACTCCACTGTTGACACCACCCATCCTAAGAACAGGCAGTTCTTGCCTGAAGGCAGATTCAGTTGCAGGATATCCACATGCAGTTCACATCTCATAAACTTCCACACCCAGCTTTGTTTTGCTGCTGTTCCAAGGAATGCTCTCCTCCCTCCATGTTCTATTTTCTCCCTAGAATCAGGGCTATGGCTTCAAGGCAGGGCCATGACACTTGCTGCTGTCTGTCCCAGGACCTTAAACATGGGCCATGGGCTCTGGGTTTCCACTCATCTCCTGTAATCCTTACCAAAATGGGAGAAGAGGAAAGTTCAGGGATGGAGAACTAGAGCCCCTAAAGTCCAGAAATTCAAAACGAAGCATGTTTATTAAGTGGTTTCCTTTTACTTAATTTCTCCCATTTCTTAAAATAAATAAAACCTTCAGACACATACAAGTGAAACACATCATCCTTCAAAGTGCAGTTACATTTCCACCCCACTCCCAAGAATCACATAAAGCTTTGTCAAGTAACCAAAAGACCCCTCAAGGCTCCCCTCGGTCCCTTCCCCTGGCATTGAGAACAGACAGGGCTGAGCTGCCTGCTGGGGGCTGATCTTCTGAAATACAGCTGCAAGAGGCAGGGCTGCAGCAGCAAGGGGGAGTTTAGGATACGTAGTATGAAAACAAACCCAACCTGCTGAGAGTCCAAAGAGTCCATCACCAGAACAGTTAGTTACTCTGGGAGCCCTGGAAGAACTGGGCTGATGACAGGCATGAGTGATGGATCAGAACCGTGTGAAGCTCCTGTGGCAGCAGACTCTAGGACAAGGGATTAAGTCATTTTGCCAAAAGTCATGGACTCCCTTTGCCCCCAGTCTGGGCCTGGCCTAGGTGATGTGGCAGCACCAGCTGCCTCCCAGGATGAGTTAAGAGTCTGCCTGTAGTCCACACCGAGTAAGAGAAAAGAGAAAGAGAAGATGAGGTCTGATGCTTGAGATCCATCTGATACAATCTCTCTTTACTGATGTCTTTAGGAACTGTTCTCACCAAGGGCACTGAGCAGAGGTATGGGCACGTACAAGTCCATCAAGTCCTTTCAGGCCCACAGAAAGTTGCTGTCAGGAAGATGTAGCACCTCTTACACTACCATGATTTTGACCTCATCGTTCTCATCAGCACGGTAGAAGAAGGGAATGCATGGGTTTTCCAGCAGGGAGCCCAGCCTCTCCTGAGGGTTCTGGATTTCTCTGAGAAGCTGCATTATTTGCTTTGCCGTGGGGTCCTCTTGGTTTGGCTGAGCAGCTTTACTGTCAGCATGGGGGAAACCGGATTGATGAACAACAGCCTCTTGTTCTGCTTCATCTGACAGATTCACCTCTCGTAACCCTGCAAGGAGCACACACAGGGCAGGCAGGTAACTCCTCCCATCCACAGCCAAGGCTGAGAGCAGGGGCTGTTCCCCCTGCTCAGAGCTTGTCCTGGCTGCAGCTCACCTGCTCCGTCGGTGGCGTTCAGCTCAATGCGCCTCTCTGCTGGCAGCACACCTTCAGTCTGGCTTGCCAGCAGCTCTGGGTTCTGAGCAGCTGCTACATACTTGCTGTACCATTCATTTCTTTCCCTGACCAGGCGCATCACTAAGTCCTGCAGTTCCAGTAGTTTCATCTGCACCAAAGTAAAGGAAAGCCCATGAAACATGCATGCAAACACACTGCTGCAGTTTGCAGTCCTATTCCTGTCACACAATTAGGAAATGAACACACAAATGTTTGTGCTCCCCAGGCCCACCCTGCTTGGAGTAGTGCCACAGAAAAGAGTCCTTGCCTTCATCTCCTCCTTGTCCTGAGCCAACCTGCTGATATACTCCTCTTTCTCCTGGTGCCGCTGTTTGAGGATAGCCCTTTGACTCTGGTACAGTGCAATGTACTCCCCTGGAACACAAGAGAAGCCTCAGGAGTGTCTGCAAGATTGGGGTACAAGCCCCATAGTGAGGTACGAGGCACAAGGACCCAGGAAATCCAACCCTGGAGTGGAGACCTAGCCCAGTTAGGCAGCAGTAGGAGACAGGGAAGCCTTGGTACTTTGAGAGCTCCAGCTCCAAAAGCTGTTGGGGACCTTCTGTTCCCACATAAACAAGGCACTGAGCAAGCTCCAGCCTGTGCTGAACGTACCAATGGTGTCGGTCTCCCCGGACAGCTGGATGCAGCGGTGCTCCAGCTCCTCCAGCCGCTCCTGCAGGTCGGCCTTCTCCCGCATCAGCTCTGTGAAACGCAGCTGCACACACGTGGGGTCAGTCACCTGGGCTGCTCACACACACACAACGCCTGTGCTAAACATAACACCCCCCTGGCACTGGTCTGAGCCTGGGGAACAAATCCTGCTCCTTTACAACCAAGCAGTGAGCAAGTCTTTAGGATGGAGCATCTTTTTATGGAACATCTGCTGCTTATTCCCCTACAATCTGTGTTGTGTTGTGTTTGTCTGACACTGGATCCTAGTCTGGCTGAGCAGTATAATAGGGCTGAAAAAACATCAGATGCTTTGCTTACCTGTAGCTTGTCCATGGCAGTTTTCAAAGCCTCATGAACCTCCACTGGAACAGTATCCATAAAGGAGCCTGGAAGGGATGTGTGCCATTTACAGTTTCTCCTGGGGCAGGGTGCACTCACAGACCCAAAGGTCTGTGCCATGGCCAGCTGGCCCAGCATGTCATGGTCACGCTGTCCCCAGACTGTACTGAGACTTTACCTCCATCCAGCGTGACGTGATGTTGCTGCTCCTGCCTAAGAGCTGTGATTTGCTGCAGGAGGGTTCTGCACTGCTGCTTCTGAGCTGCCAGCTGCTTCCTCAGATCTTCTCGCTCCTGCTCCACTTGGGACATGGCAGAGGTCACGAAAGTGACCTAAGAAGAATTTCAGAGTGTAGACATTAGTGCTTCCCCTGCATTCAGCAGGATCTATGGTGCATCTCAGGACAGAATAACAGTTTACCCCATTTTATTTATGGGTGTGAAACCAAAGAACTGTGTGACTGCCCTGGAACTAAGCCAGGGAGCAGCTACTGCCTCTTCTCATTCCCAATTAGTGCAGGTTAAAAACTGGATCCCTTGAGAGCTATTTGACTGCAGTATTATGACTGTACTTGCAGATAAATCTTGTAGATATTTGACACCATTTCCAAATTGCCTTTCAAACTAAAAAGAACATCATCATCAAAGCCCCATTAAAGAGCTGCTCTGCCAGCTGAGTTGTCATTATAAGGAAACCACTGCCAGACTTCCAGCCTGTTTTGCAAGGATGCTGCAGCAGTCTTGGCTTTGCTGCTATGCACAAGGAACTGTTGCATTTCCCTCATGACTGCACTCAGCTGGTAGGACAACAGCTGATAAACCTCTCTGCAATTTAACTGGTTTCCTTTTCTAGATATTTGTTTAGAACTAAAATCAAAGGCTTTTCTACCCATTTAAGACTCACCATTTCTTCATGGCTTTCAAACTTCTCTGGGATCACAAGAGAAGGTTTTTGGACTTCTTCAGTCATTGCTTCATCGCCTTCTGTAAAAGAAGGAAGGTGAACAAGGAGGCAATGCTGCAGAGACCCCAGCTCTGCCTCCTCACTGATGCAGCCACTCACCCTCCAACTGGTGCAAAATCCTGCCATCCATTTCTGCTGCCAACTGACTGATCTGGGCCTGCAGCTCTTTGTTTTCCTTGGCTACGGCTTCTAGACTTTCCTGCAAGAGAGAAGCAGAGGATCACAAAAACCTGCACAAGCCAGACTGCAAACAGTCATTTCATCTTCAGGCAGTAGCACCACACACACAAACACACAAGCAGTACTTTGCTCCAAACAGGTACAACTCATCTGTAGGGCGCGGGGTAATTACAGCATCACAGCCCAGGGTGGAAGGGACCGACCAAATCTCTCCCTTACTGATTACCTCCCATCTTTCCACTTGTCCTTTTTACTGTTACCTTTGTCTGCTGCAGCTCTTTGAGGTGCATTTCCACTGTCACCTTCCCCTGGACCTCCTCGTGCTGCAGGCGATCCATGAGCTGTGTCTGCAGCAGGAACTGCTTGTGCAGTTCGTCCTTCTCGGCAGCCAGCTGCTGGAAGGCCAGGGTGTACTGCTGCAGGTGGCTGTAGCACTGGTCCCGCTGCTCCTGCAGCCCACGGGCCTCCTGTGTCTTCAGCTCCAGCTGAGAGAACAAAGTCAAACCACCACATCAAACCCTTTCTGCCTGAAAAGCTGTGACATGATCCAAACTGTCAACATTGCCCCAAAGCCACCAACCAGGCAGACAGCCACCATCTGCCCCCACATGCTGGTCCCCCACATCAGGCAGCAGATGATAGGGGAAGGCTCCCAGCTGGATCTTTGCAGTACCCACTTCCATCCTTCCATCAGTGTCTGGGAAGTTGCCAGCAGTTTGCACAATCCAGCCCTGCCATCCCTCTGCTGGTGCTCACCGTCTCCTTGAGCTCCGCCAGGTTCTCCTGCAGCTGCCCAAGCTTCTTGGCCAGCTCCTTCTTTACGTGTTGCTCTGACTGCAGGGCACTTGTAACCTCCATGTTTTCATTTGTCTGCAAGACAAACACGACTGTGTAAGGAAACTGCCCCAGCCACCATGAAACAGGGTCTCAATACACCACATTAGTTCCCAGTACAACAGGGTGCCATCCCATGTTTTTGTGGACTGAGGGCCATAAATTGACTTTTAGGGCAGTAAATAACTTAAAGAAAGGTTCAGAAGATGGGAGAAGAACAAGGAAAGAGACAGGGGAATTGGTGCTGGGACAGTGCCAAGAAGAGGCCTGGCACATCATGCAGCCTGTCAGCTCCAAAGCAGATGGGTGGTATGAATATCCCAAAGAGAGCCACAGACATTCAAAAACAAGGAGTTCAAAAAGGACTAAAGGAAAAAAATCCAACAGCTAGGCCCTGTGTCAGTCTGCTAGGGCCCCAGAAGGGAAATATTACATTGAAAGAAGCAAAGCAAGAGTAAGGATTCAGCTCTAAGAAGGGGGATAAGAATGACACCAGCAGAAGAGAATACTGTTGAGAACTTCCTCATTGGCAAATAGAAGGGAACAGGAAATGGGTATCTACAGGTAAAAGGGCAGGAGGAATACCCAGGGACATAAACAGCCTGACTGCCAGGGGATGAGAAGGAAAAGGAAACAGTTCTGGACAAAGATACTGGTTCACCTCCTAGAGCACCTGAGGGAGTAAGGAACTGGAGGGAACCTCCTGGAATGGCACTATGTATCAAAGGATGGAGCAGCCACAGTCTCAGAAGGTAAGACAAGGATAATGCTGCTGCCAGTTTTTCATATCTGCGCTACAAAAGGATGGCACCAGTGAGGGAAGCAGTGGGAAAAGGTGCACAGAAGACACCTACCAGTTTGACAAACCCATTCTGCAGCTCAGCCAGCTGCTCCTTCAGATCCCGGTTCTGGCTCAGTGCCCTGCTGATTGTGGCCTTGTCACTCTGCATGTCCTCCAGGATCTGCTGCCTGTCCACAGCCTCCTCGCTGTAGCGCTGCACGGTCTTCTCCAGCTCCAGCAGCCGCTCCTCCTGCTCCCGGTTCAGGTGGCTCAGCTGCTCGTTGTCCCGCACCTGGGCCTGGTACTGCCCCTGCAGCTCCTCCTTCTCCTGCTGCAGCCGCTGCATCTCCTCCTGCAGGCTGAGCTCGGCTGCCGTGGGCCCCGGCGGGGAGGCAGGCTCGACATCCATGGGCTTCACTGCTGAGGAAATGCAGCCAGAAGGGGCTCAGTCACAGGGAAAACGGCTGGGTGAGACATATCCCTGCTGGATACACAAAGCACACCCCAGCCCATAGGGCTCTGTGATCCTGAAGGGATCAGCAGCTGCAGCATCCAATCCTCAGTGCACAGCACTGAGAGGAACAAAGAGCAAACCTACCCCAAACCCAAGCACAGCATCCTCCTGTCTGCTGCTGACTCCCTCACAGCCCTAGCAGGAGCATCCTGCCTTCCCAAACTCCTGAGCCAGGGAGGCTGACAGTACAGTCAGGCCAGTACTACAGACATAACCAGGCTGCTGATCCATTCATTGCAGGAGTTCACTTGTTCTCCTGTTTCCCAGGAGAAAAGGGTTCTTAGGGTCACCTGTCTCCATCTGCCTTCCCAGCATCAGACCTACTGCACAGCATCTGCACAGCAGGACAGAGTTATCCAGCCCCACTTTGGAAGCCCTACCTGATGTGCTCAGCAGCTCTGTAACATTGTCTTCCAGCTCCTGAATTCTGGCCATGTGTTTCTCCTTCTCCTCTGCCATTGTGTGGACCTGCAAGGCCACACAAATGAAAATTACAGCAATGTTCATGGGGCATTTCCTGCTGCCTGTGTTTGTCCAGAGCTGGGATGCTGCCCCAGGGTTACCTGCTTGGCAAGCTGCTGCACCCGCTGCTGCCAAACGCTGCCCTCCTCCCTCAGCTTCTCCACATACTGATCTCTTTCTGCCTGCAGCTGCTGGAGTGACTCTGAGAGCTGTTCAAAACAAAAGCAAGCAACATCATATTGGCTAAAAAAATTTGGTTTAAGGGATAAAACTTGAAGAAATCAGTGTTAGTGCAAAGCTCAGACTACATTTTTCTGCCCCAAAAGTAGTTATCAAGATTTGGATCATATTTCATACAACCTCTTACCTGAGCTACCTGTGTTTCCATGCTTGCCTTCTCCTCCAGAGCCATCTGTAGCTGCTGGTTTGCATCCAGACTCCCTCCCTGGTTTGAGAACTGTTAAAAAAATCACAAAGTTAAGGCAAAATGTTAATACTCAACTCCTGCACAGCCTTTCCCCCTGAGAGTAACCTGCAACATGATCCATGTTGTAACCTTCTATAATTCTTTAAAGTGCTCCAACTCATAGTGAAGTTCAGTGTTAAAAAATAAGGGGATTAAAATCAAAAAGCTGATATTTTATAAATATCAGCTTTTTTATTTTAATCAGGCTGAAGTGGGCAGCTCCTCCCTACCAGTTTTACATTTATTATTTTTTTAATTAAGAAAATAGGATTCAATCAAACTTTGGCTCAGAAATTTTATGCATTTCCAGAGTCTGCATTATACAGCCATATCAGATGGTACAAAAGGCTGTGACCTTAAAAGTTGTCAGACATGTCAGGAATTTAAAGCCAGTGTCTGGAGCATGTCAGTGGACTGAACAGCAAGGCTGGTTCAGCTGAGGCACAGGACTTTTCCCAGAAGAGCAGCAGTTGGCTTAATTTCAAGGGTAACTTAAGACACAGTCTCTAGGAATTAAAAAAAGAGCATTTTCTTCCCTCCCAGGCTCAGGGTTAGACCAAGCTTGCTCTCTGACCTGCTAACAGCTGGCTCCATGCATTCTTTCCTCAGCTGACTTCAAGCTGCCACTGTCCAATTCACCACCTTCCACTGGTGGGTACAAACACCACCCCCACTCAGCTGGTTACTCAGTGAGACTGCAGAACTAAATAACCAAAATCCTGAACAGATACAATCAGAGTCACTGTATTTCCACATTTCACCCTCTCTCACTGTACAACAGCTTTAGCAGACTAATGTGACATTGCTTGTAAAACAATGTGTGCTTTTCAATCAATTTACAGCTCCAACACCTTAAAGAATACAAACTTTTCTGTTCCTCTGAGACCTTGCTGAAAGCTTTTTCCTAGGAGGATGTCTTGATGGGATTTCATGCTTTCCTTTAAAGCCAGGAGTTAAGTCTTGCCCCCTCTCTCAGAAGGAAGTGTGGCAGTGTCATCAGTGTCCTCCGCCCTCACCTGTTGAATCATCAGTTCAGCCATTTCCAATTTCTTCTGCAAATCTTCCACATCCAACTTCATAGCCGAGTTCTGGGACACCAGGGAGTGAACTTTCTCTGACAGCTCTGAATTCTGCTGTTTTATTTCCTCGCTACTTTTGCTAAAACAAACAAAAAATTAAAGTGGCTCTGGGTCTGCTGATGTCCAGGTCAAAGATCTACAAACCAGTGTTTCCTGGCAGCCAGAATCACAGAAACATCGCATCTAGTGACTACATTTTCTTTTTATTTAATACCAGCCTCCCAAGTCAACACCTGTGGTCTTTGCCACTTGTTGTTTTGGGGCTCTTCTGCAGAAATGAGCAGAAGGGACTTACCTTCGTTTGTACAGTTCCAGTTTCAGGTTGTCTCGCTCCTTCACTAACTCTTTATTGTGCTGGAGAAAAAGGAAATTATTGATTCATCTATAGACTTCAGCCAAACAAATAAGGTATTAAAAAAATACTTCACCTTTAACACATCAGCTAAAACAGAAAAGGTCATAACTTTGGCAAAAACTTTAAGACAGGTTTGCTTAGAACCTCCTGAATTTTCCAGGAACAAGTCTGCTCAGTCTTTTCAAATGTGATGCTCAAGTATTTCTGCAAACTTCTGGATTAAAGACAATACTGAAGTGTGTGCTTGATGGACATTTCTGGGACAAAGTGTCTCTCTTGTGTGGAGCTGCCAGACTAATGAAGTGAGGTGCCAGGTTTGAGGACACCAACTGGACCATATGATTAGTCACAGAAACTTGAATGAAGTTTGCCTTGATCATGGGGAATACAGGGCTTTTAAAGTTTAATTAACAATTAACAAAATTCATTTCTGCCTCTTCTCCAAGCAGGGACTGCAGACTTTGCAGCAGTGTAGTAATAAGCAAACAGCCAAAGGCAGAGCTGCTGGTTAAGCATAAACAGAGGTGACTTTTACCTTCTCTGACTGCTTCTGCTGCATGGAGATGGAGGACAAAGTGCGCTCCAGCTCCGAGACTCGCTGGCGAGACGAGTGTAAGCGGGCAGCAAGGCTTTCAGCTTCTCCTAGACAAGTCAGAGCACAGTCAGTCGAGGCTAGACCACAAAGAGCATTTTGGAACTGGCTGAACAGCACTTTCTACTTTGTCAACAAGCTCTTCAGGCAGCGCAGAACTAAATCAGCAGAGCTGGCTCCGCTCCTGGCTCCACAGGTGATTCACTAACAGCCCTGGGAGCACAGCTCTCTCTAACTACCTGCCTCACTTTTAGAGGGAGATGATGAAACTTCCTTTGCAGAACAATAGACAGTATGTTGTTTGGGTTTGTTGTTTTTTTTTTTTTCTATTAGAATAAACTACTCAAATGTAGTTCAGAATAAAAAGCTTGGCTAAGACCTAGATTAACATGACAGCTGTGTGGGAGGCAGGGCAGAAAAGGGAAACCAAGTTTTAAAAGAATTAGAAAGGAACGGTCTGGGGTAGTCACCAGGCCCAACAGAACTGACAAGGCTTTAGTGATGCACAAAAGAACCTCAACTGCCATGAGACCAACATGCTCCCATCTGGGGGCAGCTAGGATGACAGCAGCAGTGCCAGTGCCAAAGGCTGCTCACAGAGAGGTCAGGGAATGCTGTGAGCTGGCTGCCAACAACTGTCATGCTTGTGCCTTGACATCCACAGTCCAAGCCCAGCCCGAGCTGCAGAGACAGTCACGTACCTGACTTCTGCCGTGCAGCCTGCTGAGTGTGGCCAAGGGCTGTCTGCAGCTCAGACTTCTCAGAAACGAGAATTCCAATAGTCTGGATATGAACCTTGGGGAAAGGAAAATCAGCTCAGCACAAAACTTCTTTGCTTGCCACTGCAACATCACTGTTGCCACAAAAGGACAGTTCAGAAAAGAGCTCTTGCAGTTAAGTACAGTCTGGCTGACACTCACAGTTTTGCCAAAGGAATGGACTTCTGCCTTCCAGGATAAGGCCTATAAGTGCTCAGTAATCCACAAAACAGCAGAAGTCAGGTGATATTACTGTAAGGGAGGCTCTGCATTACCTGTAACTGCTCCCTCAGTGCTGCTTGCTCTTTAGAAAATTTCTGTTCAAACTCCTTCTTTTCCTGTAGAAACAAATAATGCCTGGTCAGCACAAACATGCAGATAGTTAACCCTTGTTTTTACATCAAACTAAAAAAGCAGGAATTAATTGGTACCATTTCTAGCATCTAAATGATGCCATTATTTTTAAAGACATGCTTAATCTTCCATTATTTGAACTACTTAATCATTTTCCCAGACCAGCAGCAACAGCACAGTGCAACCACTGCAGCACACACGTGGCAGTGTTGGAATGGAAGCTCCTGGCAAGGACCTGAACTGTCACCTCCTGCCCCCACTGCACTCCTGCAACTTGAGCATTTCAGTATTAGCTTTGGTCAAAATAAGAATGCTGCCTGTCAGGCCTAACTTGTGAAGTCAAAATATTAAACCTTATGCTACAAATAAAACTGAATCTAACACAAGACAAGATCATGCACTCTTGTGCCACAATCCATTGTGTTTTCTACTCCACAGAGAAACAGATACCTATTTCTGTACCTATCCAAAAATAGGACACACTTTACCTTCTCCAGCTGATTCACTGCTTCTTGGTTCTGCTGTTTCTATGGAAGAAAATTGATGCACCAATATTAAGAGAAAATATTCTCATACTGAAACATATTTTCACTTTGATGAAGTAGGATATATGCCCAGTTAATGAAAGGAGAATTTCCATTTCTGTAGAAGACTAGGAAGTTCATCTGAGCTATTAAAAGTAAGAGATTTGGGGCTCCCTTCACTAATACATGTAATATGTTTTTCATTATCCAGTACATTATCACAGTTCTCCTGCAATACCTGTGCTGAAACCCCTCAATGTTCCTATCTGAGCATCCAACAACTTCAGTTTAAACTTGCAATATCCCACATGTATTCAATTAGTCACAGTCAAACTGCTGTTAGGAAAATCAGCAAAAATGCTTTTAATAAAAGACAAATACCTAAATCCCAAAGCAAAAGTCCTTTGCTTTAAGTGATTCCTTAGACCTCTATCCCAGTTACCAACTGGCCAAGTCATGCAGAGCTGCACGTACGTTGGCAGGCTCCCACCAAGGTGGAATGAGACAGGGCTGAAGCCAGATGCAAGGAAAGGATAATTCTGTCCCAGCCAATTTCAGTCTTATGGGTGAAAGACTGGAGATCTGTGACTGCACAAAGTGCATCTGTAGGTGTGAAGGGGACAAAGGCTGCCCAGGCTGCCACCAAACCCTGTTTGCCCTTTGCTGCTCTTGTCCCCCTGGCAGTTTTCTCACAGATACCTCTAAGTAACTACATAATTAGTATTTTTTTCCTCTTCCCAAATGATGAATATTGCCAAGGTGTTTCTTTATTACCACTACTACCTCAGTGCATTTTGAAACATGACTGCACATGGAAAGATGATGAGGTTTTGATTTTAGCAATACCAGCACACAACCAGGAAAAGCAAGGCAAGAGCACAAATGCAGCAAAGGCCCTACAGAGTTCCAGACAAACAGAAAAGCTGGCAAACAATGAGAATCCTGGGTGGGCAATGCACTGTACCTCTGCAGCCCAACTAAAACACAAAAAGAACAGAACAAAAATAACCCAAAACCAAAAACTAAACAAAAAGAGGGAAGTCATGGGGTACACTGGGAAATGCTGAACTTGGGGGAAAAGTGTAGTTTTAGAGAAACAAAATGGGGGAAAGTATTTCACACAAGAAAGGCTCTTTTCAGTCTGGAACAGATCCACTTAGTTGCATTTTTTGCAGTGTTAAGGCTGAAGGCTGAAAAGCAGCAGCAGGAATCCATGCAAGCCACAGGACAAAGCAGTTCATTCATTGTGCCAAGAGAAGCTGAGGATATGATCAGAAAACAGCCCCAGGCTCTCTTGGACCTATTGCTCCCACTCTGCTGATATATTTAGAACAGCATCACCACCTGCAGAAACAGGTTTTCACACTGCTGCCAGCACCAGAATTCTGTATTTCAGATTCAGAGCAGGACTAGAAATAGCTGTTTTATGAGGATGCTTATCATCCAGGGACAGTGTGAGGAGATCAACAGAGCACACTTAAATGGAAACAACAAAACTCTGTTTCTGCTTCCTCAGATGAGCCACCACACTCACAAGAGGCCTTAGGCTTTGATCCTCTCACAGGTTTTCCACCCAGCCCATTCTGTTCCATGCAGAGTGCTGTTAAGCAGCCTTCCTTGTGGCACCATGAGGGAACCTTGCAGACACCCAGAGAGCGTGGAGGAGCAGCAAAGACAATGTCAGACTGGTTGGTTGGATTGTTTCTTACCAATTCCTCTATCTTTGTAACGAGCTGTTTGTTAGTTAGATTGCTGGAATCCAGGGCTACTGCCAGCTCCTGGTAACGTGTCTGACGGGCACATGCATATAGGAGAAAAAGGAAGGAGCAGAAGAGGAGGAGGGAGGGAAAAAAGCAATAATTAAAAAGGACAGAAAAATAAATCATTATCAAAATTTGATATAATCAAACTCTCCAAACAAAACAAAATCTGTGGTTTGAACAAAAGCAGCTGGGATGTCAACCTATTTTATCCGTTTCTGCTGAGGCCTCATTTTGACATAAAAGTGAATCAGGAATAAGAACTGCAGTTGCAGGGAAGCCAGATTATCCCCAGTCCCCAAACTGGGAACATCTCTAATAACTGCCTCTGACTGTGGTGATCACAACTGCCCAATTAGAGCCCCAGGTGACACTACACAGTGATGTATGTGATCTGTGCATTCAGTTAGGCCTCACTAACACCGCTGTAAGCACAGAATCCAAACAAGTGATCAACAATAGCAAATAAGAAAAATAAAAAACATGACAGACTGAGAACAACTTACTTCCATTTCCTTAATATTTGTGGAAGAAACAGCACTTTCTCCATTCACATACGATGTAGACTAGAAGTAAATCAAGTAAGTCAGTTTTAGTCCTCAAAGCAAATCACTACTAGGTAAGATCCCATTCTAAGTGTAACACTCCTTATAGCACCTGTCACTTCAAACAACCACACACAGGCACAGAAAACACTTTTCTGGCTCAGGATAGACACTGGCTGCCCCTGTGACAAGCTAATGTGGATTATTCAGACTGACATCATATTTTTTTCCAGTAAATCAAGACTACATCTTTCCATGAATACTACAATTCATTCATCCCACTCTGCTTTTCTTCCTACTGCTGAAATCTCAAATTCCTAAACGAGGATTTTTTGCTCCTCAATGTTTAAGCATCACATTGGTTAGTAGGATGGCTGCAGACATCTCTGAGATTGAAGAGTGTTTCCTTGAGCTGTCTGCTTAAAGTTCCCCATCAAACACCAAGAGAATTAATGGGACAAATGGATGAAGAGGAGTACCTGGGAAACCAGGCCATTGAGCTGCTCAGACAGCTGACGGAGACCCTCTGTTGACGAGAAAGACCTGGGAACAAAGATCTGGCAATGAAAACCTCTGCCAGAGAGCTGCCCAAATCAGCACACCATTGGGGCAGGAATAAAACCATAATTTGCTGGGATCCTGTTGCAAAGCCAACACAGACACTCACCTGTTCTCTTCCAAAGCATTTTTATGATCTTCAGCTTCATTCATCTGTGGATTAAAACATAAAAACTTGTAAGCCTGTAAAAGATGGGAGTCACTTATGAATGTGTCACTAAGACTTGATTACACCTGGGCTCAAGTTTCACAGCTCCTGTAATTAGTGCTTCCCAAAGGAAGATGAACTTAAAACCACCAACTCAGCCCTGGCTTACACATCATTCCTGAGTGGTGTGAGTCTGGAACAGAGAAATTCAAGTGTATCAGGCTTTATGTCTGCTAGCCTATTTAAGGATATCAACACTTCCTATTTAAGGATAATCAACACTTTGCTGAAAAAAAACTACAACTGAATCTTTTATTAGTAAAAGGAAATACAGACTGATTGGACTGGAGACCTGTCTTATTAAGGGTACTTTCAGCTAATGAAATAGGAGAGAAGGGGAAGGAAGGCAGCTTTGGAAGCTGCAGGGCCATGTGCATGCTAGCACTCCCTCTGCTCTCACAGACGGATGATGCCTGCATGGAGAGTGGAGAATATAGTATTTTTAACAGGGGAAAACCTGAACTAGTCATGTCACATTTATGAAGGTCACCTTTCTCCACACTAATGTGGCATCACTAACCAATGGTTCAATGGCAGTATTGATGATAAGTCACAAACCTGTGTCAGCTGCATGCTCTCAGGAGCAGGCAGAACAGAATCACAACTAGGGAGGCTGTTGCTGTTAGATAGCACAGGGACATCAGGAGCAAGCTGTTCAGCACTACGAGTGGCAACATCACTGTCAAAGTATGCCTGTCACAAAACACAGCACAGGATTACAGCCTTCATGCAAAATGAACAAACACACACAACAGCACATCACCTTGTGGCCTGCCTGTGAAAACCAGACCCATGTGAACAGTCATTAACATGTGGAAGGGAACCTGTGTTCTCCCCAGAGCAAAGAGGTGGCTGCATCAACCACAAACACTGTCCCAGAGTGTGTCCTTCCATGAAGAACCAGTGTCCCACAATCCAACTCTCTTTTTTAACACAGGGCAATAACATCACCCAAACTCTAAGCTCACACATGAGATTCACTGCAAAAGATTAACCAAAAATCAAGTAAGGGCAAAGCCAAATGTCACTGTGCTTTGAAAAGCACCACCTTTGAGGTATTCCTGGGGAAAACACAGATCACTGTATGCAAATGAAGATGGAAAAGAACAGGGGAGTGACTACTTGAAAAATGGGTTAGTCAGACTCAAGTGCTCTGTCTAAAACACGGAGAAATTTGTGGCATGCCATGACCCACCAGTTTAGAAACAGGACATTTATGAACAGGCCAGAGGGAGGGTGGATGGGAGCAGGTGCCTGTGGCCCTGCTGGAGCCATGGATCCCATGACTAGAAGAATCTAAATAGAAAAGAGAAGCGCCAAAAAACTATTTCTGGACAGCAAATTCTCATGCAGCCTCTGTGGGAGCATGGGTGGCACCTGCAGCCCCCTCTGTGAAGCCACACTGCACTGATCCATTCCATCTCCTTGCACAGCACTAGAGCCATAGAGGTCCAGCAGTGCTCTTGTGTTTTACAGCAATTTGATTGATTTCATCAGCCAGCTCTACTAAGTCATCACTTAAAAACACAACAAAACAAAAGAGATAATCTCAGCATTCAGCCCCACCAATATACTGCAGCTCTCTGCAACTCCACCTGAAGAGCTCCCTCTTACTTCAGTTACTTCCTTCTTGGCACTTCAAAGGAACCAAGAAATCTCTCTCTCTTGGCAATCCCTGTTTACCTGCTCAGTACCTCACTCACTAATCCAGCAGCAAGGTTAAAACAGCAACAGTGGAGACAGATTTAATGAAGGTAGTAAGGTGGAAGACTACAAAGGGAAAACAAGAATATTCTGAATTTCTTTTTAGCAGGAGAGGTACTGATGCTCTGAAGGAGCAATATATGTTAGGTCCTTATTAGGAAGGTCGGGAACTCCCTCACTTCTTCCAGCTAAAGGTTACTTCACCTTTATCAATCACACACTCATCAATATAAAGATCAGAGGGATAGGAAGAATTAACTCCCCAGTGCATCTCAAAATTATAATTTCTTCTGATCAGAACAGTCCTTCTGCCTAATACTTCCAAGATTCAGGAACCAGTAATGTTCCTTAACCACAAGAACTCCTTCCTCCTTTCCTCACAAGTAGCAGTTTTGTAATAAACTGTCAAAAAAAACCCAAAACTATTTGAACAATTGAATTTGTTGGAAACAAAAGCATTAGAAGCAAAACACTTATATGGAAATTATGCTTTGTGATATTCCAATAATGTAGAATAAAGTCAGTAATTCTGCTCAGCTTAGCATGTAGTAGGATCCTTTTGCTTTCACACAAAGGCTTTGACTTTGCTGGTTTTCCTCTGTTTCAGAGCCAAGAAAGCTGAAGTGAGGGAGAAGGGAGGGCTCTGCCTCACATGAGACACCAATGGCAGCAGCAGCTCAGCTGCCACTGATCAGCTTTTCTGCCCTGTTAGCATCAAGTTTCTAAACAGCATTTTCCTGACTCAGGATTTTTTACAAGACAGCAACTGGAATGAAAAATTGTTCCATCATTACATACTGCAGTTAAAGATAAGTTTTCAAATAATTCCTAAAATCCCAGGCACAACAATCCAAATATTCAGTAATAGCCAATCAGATCAAACTGTATCTCTGAGGAAAAGAGGGAAAAAAAGGGAAACAAGAATGAATAGAGCAATAAATTCTCCCTTTGCAGAACATGACTAAAGCTGTAGACACAGGTAGGCCTTCACTGCAAGGCTAAGTGTCACCTCAGCAACAGCACTGGACCACCTATCTTCATCCCATCCTCCAATGGGAAACAAGTCTCCTTTTCCAATATTTAACTTACTCTGAGCTCACAAGTATTAACTGAAAACAGTCCCCAGGACAACAGTGACACTTCAGTCTCAACACAAGTTTTCTGAGGCACAGCCAGCACCCCAAAGCTGGCAGAGTGTCTTCACATCACTTGAATTCTGCTGGTACAGAACCTACACAACACAGTCCAGTTGGTGGAAATCTGTGTGTCAGACATACTATCACACAAAAGAAAAATAAAGGAAAAAAGGATACAAAGGCAATTCAGAGGGAATTCCATTCCACCTGGCAGGTTTCATGTCATCTGTCAGGTACCCCATGTGATTACTATAGTTATATTTATTGCTGGAGACCCAAGGATATGCATTAAATATAACAATGAGCCACTTCATGACAACTACCTTGAAACAACAGGAGGGAAATAAGCTACCAAAATGATGCAAGTGAAAATGAAAAGCAGAGCTTTGGTACAACAAAACTGGAAGAACAGTCTCAGCTACAAAATTTGACTTCTCTGAGCTCCTATCACAGTTTGGGCCTTATTTTAAATAAACTAACTGTCTGGAAAAAAGTGTTTTTAAAAGGCTGTTTGTTCATGTATGCTCCTGAACACCTTTCCCTTGCTTCTTGGCATACTTCCTGCCCTTTCCTCTTCAGGATCTTGGCAATGTGAAGACGCTAAAGCCTGTACATGCCTGGCTTTGAAGTATCTGACTTCCTGCCTAAGCATATTTACAGCCCTGCTACTTGCCAGACTGTACATCACCTGTGCCAGCTTCATCGCCTGTCATAGATGGGTGGCTGGAATAACCAGCCAGTGCAGCTGTTTGCCTGGAGATGAGCACAAACATGCCCTTCAGAAACCAAGCTCAGGAAACAAAGCAATGACACTCAGAGCAGGAGAAATACAGTACAAGAATTCACTATCTCTTCCTAGTGCAGTTTTCCTCAGCTGTTATAAGTGAGTTTATTGCCTCACCCCAAATTCCTGTTTTCCTCCAAGCTCAGCTGTCTCAAGAAAGACTTTTTGACAAGGCTCACTTTTTGACGTGTTAACTTTGACACAAACCAGAAGGAAAACAAGCACTTAACAAGCAATGGTAACAAAGAGCTCCATGTTAATAAAAACAGCAACACAACTGAAGCAACTGACAATGGATATGTGAGGAGAAGGCTCCATGCCGGAGATGGAGCTCAGTGTGAGCAGAACCCGAAGCATGCAGGAGGGAGAGCGAGTCACTGCGAGGGACACGAGCACTGCCTCACCTTCCTCTTGTCCAATGAGGGTATGGCTACCCCATTGGAGCGGTTAAGGTCTGACACCAGCACCTTCAGAATGTTCTGAATCTACAGGAGGCGAAAGAAAAGGGGAAAGAGAAACAGCTGAGAAGGACAGAGAGAAAACATCAATCCAGGGCAGCCAAGGAAGCAGCCTTGTCCAGCTGGTGAGGACCACACGCCTCGCTCAGCCCAGCAGCTCTGGGCACACCCAGGGCACCGTCGGACAGACTCCAGAACTGCAGCTGCCAACTGCTGCAGCACACTTCACTCAGCACCTACACCACTCAGCTCTTACCCCAGCCCTTCCAGCTTCGGTCAGATTGTACAGAAAACCAAAGAAGAGGGAGGAGGCAAATGATTTGAGAGAAAGCATGAGGCACTCACGTTCTCTGGAGGCTGCTGGTCGTCGGTGGTGGGAGTCGCAGGTCTGCTGCCTTCTTTAGTTTTGCGTTTCTTCTTAGTTCCTGCAGTTGCTCCAGGGCTGTTCTTCTGCTGATATTCCTTCAGCTGTGAACAGAAGAAGACGAGTCTGAAGTCCAAACAGAATATGCCCTCTATAACCCCAAAAAACCCTCAAAACCTAACTGCACTGGTAAAAATACAAATCAAGTGTAAGGACAAGAGGAATGCTCTTCCATGAATTCATCAGTTTGGGGGGAAAACAGGAATCAATATAAGCCCAGAGAAGGCTAAAGTTAAGACCAAAGTGATGGATTTATGACAAGAGTTGTAAACATTCAACTTTTGTTTACAGACAATGCTGTTCCTGGGAAATTGTTTCATACCCCATAGTGCAACTAAAAAGAGGATTAAAAGTGCTGGTTTGGGGGATTTTCAGGGTTATAACTAAGAGCAATGAGGCAAAATTAATAAAGGGCAATTAATCCTACATGCAAAGTGAGAAAGCACTGCCTGACAGTTAAATCTTCCACTCCATGAAAGATTTTATGAAGGACAGTTGCAATCCCCACAGCAGACACTGCAACAACTGCGAACTAAGGGGAGAAACAATCTACAAATTATTTTTAATCGCCCAGGAAGTGCGGGTCTGATAAGATGTAACTCGAATCCCGCCAGGACTGCCGGCATTTCTGTGCAATTCCCGCACGCCCGAGCCCCAGCGCGGCGGGTCCCGGCAGATGTTTATGCAGAGAACGGCACCCCCGGCCCGCACAGCCCGGGCCGGGCACGGCGGGGCAGCGGGGATGGAGAAGGACGGAGGAGCACCCATTATTGCTAGGATTTCAAAATGGAAGCCTGAACTGCTCCAGGACACTTTCCCGTTCCTGTGACTTTGACACAGAAGCGCATCCCGCCGGGACGCAGGCAGCCGGGTCGCCACGGAGGAAAAAATACGGAGGGAAAACGGGGGAAAAAAGGAAGGCGGGGGGGAGCAGGAAGGAAGGCGGGGGGGACACGGCACCCGCACGCCAGCCCGGGCAACCCTCACAGCCCCGCAGCCTCCCAGGCCCGGCCTCGCCCCGCCGCCCGCCGAGCAGGCCCCGCTCCGGGACACCCCCGCCCCGGGACAGCCCGGGGTGACACCGCGGGACGGCCCGGCCCGCTCCGCCCCGGGACAGCCCGGTCCCCGTGTGACACCCGGCTCTGTCCCGCTGCTGTAGTGAGCCGCCAGCCCAGAGCAAATGCCGGGAGGGGCCAGCCCCGCTGCCCTCGCCTTTGCGGGCGCGTCCCGCACAGCCGCCTCGCGTTCCGCCTGCGGTGTCCGGGCGCTGGTGGCGGGGTCGCTGTGTGTGACCCCAAATCCTTTGACCTTCCAGGCGCGGCAGCACCTGAGGCTCGGGCAGCCCCGGCTCTGAGGCACGGCGCTCACAGGGACGCGGCTCCCTGCGGCGGGACGGGCCCCAGCGCTGCCCGAGCCTCCGGGCGGGACTGGGGGAGCCGGGCCCGAGGGAGCTGCGGTGGCCCGGCGGGACACAGGGACAAGCAGGGGCGTGGGCAGTGCTCACTTTGCGAAAACAACATTGCAGGGGTGCTTAAAGACTGGACGTGGCGCCCAGTGCCGTGGTCTGGTTGGCATGGTGGTGTTCGATCACAGGGCCGATCTTTCGAACCACATTGATCCAGTGATTCTGAGTGACCCCGACACCCCCTGAGTCCCCGTCCCAGCTGAGCCGCGGTGCTGAGGTGTCTCTGAAGCACCAAATGTGACCACCTCGGCTGCGGCCACGGGGGACAATTGTGTCGTGCCACACCCAATGTCACCTGCAGCCCCGCCACGCTCGAGCCCGGTAGAGGACTACAACTCCCGGCGTGCCGCTCGGCGGCACGACTACAGCTCCTAGCGTGCTCCGTGGCGGGGGAACTACAACTCCCGGCGTGCTCTGTGGCGGGGACTGCCGCTCTCCGGTGTGGCGGAGCCCTCAGCCCTGGCCGAGCGGGCCCCGCCGAGCGCGGGCCGCAGCCCGCCCCGCCACCCGCCGCGGGCCCTGCCCAGGAGGTAGGAGCCGGTTCCCCGCTGCCCTTCCCCTCCCCTCTCGGGCCGTGCCCCCGCCGAGGCGGCGGTCCCGGCCCCTGACGCGGCGCTCTGCTTTGCCAGGGTCTCGGCCGGCGGCCGGCGGAGCGGCGCGGCCGCGTTCCGGGCACCGGTGAGTGCTGCGCGGGCTGCCCCGGGAGCCGCTCCCGCGGGGCTCGGCCCGGCCCGCTCGGGAGGGATTTCCCTGGAGGGTTCCCCGGGTTCGCGCCGGCCCCGCGGTTTGCGCTGTGTCCTGCTGGGAGTTGCTCCTGAAAGGCACATTGTGGGGTTTATTTATTTTCACTTTACACTGTAGCTCTCGAAAGTGCGGTTAGATGTGGGATGGAGCAGCCTAGCGTTATGGACACTGATCCACATTTTATTTGAGCACCCCTCCCTGCCCTGGGGATGTTTTTTTTCCTTTTCTCCTGTTTTATTCAGTGGTATATACACTATTTTCCCATTCGTACTCCAGCATTGTAGCATCTTACCCAGAGCTGAGCTCCTGCTATGTGTGTTCTGTGTTCTACAGATCCCAACTCCCAAGTCCTTCCAGCCTGATGGAGCCAGTGAAGAAGCCCTGCAGTGTGAAATCAAAGAGCTGAAACAGAAAGACCTCGCTCTAGACCAGGAAATTGCACAATTATTGTCAGAGTACGTCCTTGGCAGGCTCAGTGTTTACTTGATGCCTTAATTATTTTTGTTTTTAAAATAAGATGTGATCCAGGAACTGGAGCTGAGTTGACCTTCTATGATGCCATTGTTGGCGTGGTGCAATGCTGGTTACAGTGTTGTAAGTGATGGGACTTGTTAGAGACAAGAGGGAATTCTTTCCACTTCATGTGGCAAAGCAAAACAAGTTTTACTAGGAGCTTGCATAAGAGGATTTCTGTTTTAGCTTGGGTGTTCCTGAGGTAATTATGTGTTTACTGGGATAATTTTAGCCATTTGTTATTTGTTGTGAAAGACTGATATTTTCAGTGTAGTGCATAGGATGGAAGTGGTAAAACAACAAAGGCTGTTCCAGAACCCCTCTTCATTTATCCTCAAGGATAAACAAACCTTCTAGCTACAGAACAAGAGGAAATGGCCTCAGGCTGTGCCAGGGGAGCTTCAGGTTGGACATCAGGAGGAATTTCTTTGCTGCAAGGGTGATTAAACATTGGACTGGGCTGGCCAGGGAGGTGAGGGAGTCATGGTCCCTGGAGGTGTTCAGGAGATGACTGGATATGGCACTCAGTGCTCTGCTTTAGTTCATATGGTGGTGCTTAGCCAAAGGTTGGACTTGATGCTTTTGGAGGTCTTTTCCATCCTAAATGAGTCTACAATTCTTAATTTTTCCCTATATACAGGTTAGAGATACAGATCAATGGAATTCACCACAAACTACTCCTGTTTCTACTGGATTCTGAGAACTTGGATAAACTGGCTTTCTTGAGCTTATTTAGATCCTTCATGTTCAGGACTTGCAGCAACTGCACTTTGCTGTGTTCAGTCTCTGTTTTTGAGGTGCCAGGCTTGGGTATGTCCCAGAGGAACATACCCAGGGAAGCCCCAGTCCCTCTGTGCCATTTGTGACCTTTCTGGTGTTATTTTACAGGGGCTACAGCCTGGAGGAACTGGACAAGCACATCTCTCTGCTCCATGAGTACAATGAAATCAAAGATGCTGGGCAGATGCTCCTGGGCAAGCTAGGTAAGGAAGGGAAAGCTGTTCAAGACCTTCTTAGTCAGTGTTTTCATACAAACAGAAAGAAGCTGCTACCATGGAGGCAAAGCTTGTGTTACAGATTCTTCACTTTAAAAAAAGTGTTTGGGCAAGCATGAGGCACAGCTGCAAAACCTTGGGTTTCTTGGCTATGGGATGTGCTATGGGATAATTAGGGGAGGAAAACACCAAGTTTCTGACTCATTTGATCTTTGTTTACTGACAGCAATGCTGTTTCTTTATTTCCTAGCTGTTATCCGAGGGGTCACTACAAAACAGCTCTATCCTGAGTATGACCTGGAGCTCAGTGACTAGTCCTGAACCTGGAGAGTGCCATGTCCTGCCAAAGTGACTGTCACTGGGCCATTACACACTGGTGTCATCCTGGTTTGGGAGAGACAGAAGGTGGAAAAGGAACCTTTGGAAAAGGGATTAGGATTTTAGCTAATTTCATGTACTACCTGATCAACAGGATTTTTTTTGAAAGGTTGTAGTTCAGGTTGATGTTGAACCTCTCCCATGGAGCCTTTGATTTCCTGCAGTATCCAGGGGCTGTTTGGTTACTGAATGGATAGAGGAAGTGAGGACAGACACATGTGCAATGTAATAGCTGCTTTGAAAGGAAAACCCTTAGAAGAAAGGAGGGAAGAAGGCAGAAATTGTGGTGGTTTGGGGGTTTATTTTGTTTTATCAACAAATCCAGAGAAGTCTGGGTGTTCTGCATTTTTGTACTTACCTGCTCTGGTATCTGGAGGTTTTGTGTCATTTCTGTAGTAAATGGCAAAATGTAAAGTTGTGTTGAACTGTTCACTCTGAATAAAGCAGCCTTCACATCTGTTAGTAAATCACTTTAAGAGCCTATAAAACACTGCATGAACCTGCAGTTCAGGGAACAAATTCTAAAACTATATTGAGACAACTCTAACATGAGTTATTCAGATGTTTTCTCCAGGAGTGTGCAGGTGCAGAATCACTTTTGTCTGCTCTAAGTGCAGAGTCATGGTGGCAGTGAGAGCTGTCCTGGACAGTGGATGATGTTGGGAGCACGAGTGCTTCAATGTCAGTGTGAGGGCTGAGGGTGACTGCACAGACTAAATTTGGCTGCTTTGGGCAGTTGGAAGTGATGAAGTGCTCTGCTGACTGCAGATCTGTTGTCCCTTTTCACTCACACTTGATGTCCTTCTGCCCATCTTTACTTTCCAAGACCTTCTAGCCAGTAAGTTTCCCCTGTGCTCTCCAGTTATGCCCATGCTGCAGTCTGCTTACATCCAAATTTGAATCAAATTAATCTGTCTTCATTGTGGTTGGAAGCCAGAAACCAGTCACAAGGCTGCTGCTGAGAGCAGATAATTTGTTTTACACTCCTGGCTCTGGATGTGGCACAGAAATGTCACTAATAGTGTCTTGTTTTGCCTTAAAAACTGTGGGGAGTGGTCTCAAGCAGGGGGACAGAAAGAGCCTGTATATTCCATGATTCATCCAAGTCTCTGCTGATGTGCAGCTGTGCAGAATATTTCCTGTGCCCAGACCAGAGTGGACTCTCAGGGGGGACGTTCACACCTCTCCCTAACACATACCCCTCTGCCAAGTGTGGAACACTCATGTGTTTTGGAGTAGTTTTAAGGGGAGGAAAAAAGGCACAAGGTGACAAGAACTGGGAAATGCAAACTTTGTTACTCAAGTTGCTGTTTTGGCTGGTATTTTTTGTGTAGAAGGACTGGTTCAGCCTGGAGTGTTCCAACCAAAATGTTCCTGTCAGTGACACACACAACTGGAAATTGCTTTTGCAATAGGAAGTATGTATGGAAATTCTCCAGTTTGTGTGAGGTGTGAGCTGAGGGCATGAAGTGTAATCCATTCCCAAAGTTACTGAAGGTTGTTCAAGGAGTGAGAAGTCCATGTTTTCTTCCCCACTATGTAGGAGCACTGGGGTTAAAATTTGCAGCTGTAGCTGTGCAAATGTTCTGCTTGTGGCTGCAGGGATGGGTTTATGCTTCAGCTAACACTGGGCAGGTGTCCAGGGAAGGTTCCCTGATCCAAATCCCTTGTCCATGGAGGATGAGAACATGCACAGAACAGCCCAAGGACAGGGCACAGTGTCCTTGGGGAATCCCTGCTGCTGGCACGGTGGCTCTGCCAGGCGGTGGCAGCTGCGTTCCATGGCTGTTCTGGCTGCTCTGTGCAGCCCAGAGGAACCCAGAACTGAAAGATTCCAGGCACTAAGAGCTCCTGGGATGCTTCAGGACAGGACTGCACACTGCCACTGAGGTACTTCATCATGGCCCCTGTGACTGCCCCTCCCAGAGTTACTCTTGTACCCTTATGGTTGTCACCTGGAGGATGAAATATGCTGGCCCTTGTCCAAGTTGAGAAGAGGAACAGAACAAATCTGCTTTCCATAAATAAATCTCCAAACTCACTAAGTATATAACTGGAAAACCATTGAGTGCAATAATGGTAAGTAATTCCAGACTTTTAACTTCAATTTAGAAAGTGTGTTTCTGCAAAGTCAGACCCAGCTATAATCAGCTAACAGAGACCAAATGGTATCACAATATTTACAGTTTCACCAAAGAGCAGGACCTGCTGTCTGCAAGGAACTGCTGCAGAGGAAAATACCAGAGACCACTGAATACCCTTGGCTCCTCAGGAAAAAAAGGGTAAAATAAAGTAGCACTTGCTTGGTTTTTATGGGTTAATGTACATGGATGAGTACTGAGCCAAGAACCAACCTCTTCCCCATTAGGTCATTTTCCATTTTATTTTTTGTGTATCCTGTGCATTAGTCCCCATTATAAGCCACTTTTCATCACATGCCTGCTCTGGATAAAACCATTTCCTTGCGTTGCTTTGGGTAAGCTGTGTTTTCTCCTGTACATCCCTCATTTATCCTGATTTTGAGCTCCCATGTGTCTGAGAGCAGGGCTAATGGAAAGAAAATACTCCAGGAGAACACAGGGAAAATAAAATCCATACAGCAGATAAGTCATGCTGCCAGTTGCAAGGAACAAATCTGTGCAGTCAAGAGAATACAGCTTTCTAAGACACTACTTCCTGCTGCTGAACAATACGGGAATGGGTTTTTATATCCCTTAGCAACCTAATGTTCTCAAAATCAACAGGAATTTTGGCACAGCTACCTCCTGTTAATGAACTGTTTGTGATGCTTTAAAAAAAATGATACAGCCTGTCACTGAAGGAAAAAAAGCCTCCAATAAAAGTCATCTGAAGGAAAGGGTGGAAGTGAACTGCAATTAACCTCTTTCCTTCTGCTGTCCATCACACTGCTGGCACGTCGCTGCCGTATTGTGCTGCAGGATTGCTCACGGACGCTCCTGCAGAGCACGCTCAGCTGTGTCCCAGTCCAGCTGATGAAGAGGACTGCTCTCCTCGTGTGCCAGGGTTTTCTCCAGCTCTGTTTCCACCTTGAGCTGACAGTTCCGAATTGCCTCCTGGATGCTCTGCAGGTTCCACTGAGTTCTCGGGAGAGCGTCATCCACCGTGAAAACCCCGTCGCGTACTCTGCGCACTTGTGTGCACACAGCAGATGATTTCAGCTCCAGACCAATCTCGTGAACCATCTTCCGCAGGTACTGCTGAGTCTCATGCAGGCAGTGGATTTCTAGGAGGACAGAGACATTGCTTCAGGAGCAAAGCTTTGACACAAGCTCTGACATTGTAAATCCAGACATCACTCGCAGTTACGCTGAAAGAACTGGTTTGGAAGAAGACACTAAGAGCATGGAATGATTTTCTGGAATGGGTGTTCCACACCCTTCCAAAGTGAACACTTTTGAAAACAAACCTACAGATATAGAAGAGCAATGTAGAAATTTAGGTATTTCAAAGGGGATAAAAAGGCACCTTTTTAATAAGACAAATAATTTGTGAGGGAAAGGGGACTGGCTACAGGAAAATGACACTTTTTAAAAAAACCCAAAACCCAGCACTGAAATGCATTACACTGAAACATTGAACTAAGAAGAATTTCCCCCATAAGTATTCATGATGCAAATTTTCCAGCCTTGGGCTTAGAGCTGAACTAGGAAGGAAAAAACTAAGAGCTGGCTGGATTTACTAGAGAAGTTGTAAGTTGATAAGAAATTCCCACCAACTCATTTTGCAATAAATAATAAGAAAATGAAGTTTACCAACTTATTTGCCATAATACATATTCAGAGTTCCCCAGTACATTCTGTGCCAGTCCTACCTAGCTGGAATTCTGGAAGTGCAAACTGGAGGCATCGGATTGCTGTGATTATTGGGGGGCTTTTTCCCATGGGGCGGATCAACCCTTTGACAGCCAGCTCATATGCCTCTTGTGTTTTCATATCAATGTTAGAATACCTAGGGAGAAAAAGAGAGCAGCAGAGACATTTAGAAACTTCTCTCCAAAGATGTCAATCCCCTAAAACAGAGATGCAGTTTTAATTCTTAAACCATCCAGTGAGTTTTTGCATATATTTTTGTGGTGTATGTACTATCAGTAGTGTAACACAGTTTGGGATGGAGGTACATGGTCATGTCTACAAGATACTTTTCTCATCCCTAATATAGCAGATTGGTCCTAAACCAGCAGATTGGAGATTTTGGGATACAAGAAGGACATTTAACTGCAACCTCTCAGCAGAGCACAGAGCACACAGAATAACTTCTCTCTGCCCCTTGCTAGCACTCCAACCTTTAGAGACTTTGATTATGGGAAACAGAATCCTCTCATTTGTTCTGAAGACCAGCACACAGCAGTGGGATCAGCCCAGCTCATTTCATGGATACGCACATCAGCAGGGCCTTTTGATTTGTCCCTTGAATGACAGCAAGAATCCGCTCCAGCTTCTCCCTTGTGATGTGATCTGCAAATATTAAGGCAAAAACAAAGTCTCAATTATCCATCCAGAAACTGGGAAGTCTGAAAAGTGCCACTGAGGTATTGCTGTCCCTCGGGCGGGCAGTCACATCAAAAGGGGCTGATGAGAGCTGAGGGGTGGCCTTTGCAAAGTCATTTCCCCTGGCTCTACGTGGAGCAGTACAGAGCTGGACTGCAAAGGGAAGAGTTATTTTGCTTAACTGATTCCAAAACACTGATGCTCCAGTTTTTTTACTGTATGTTTTCATTCAATGAAATCTCCTAACTGCTATCTCCAAGTGAGATTCACAGGAGATCTGGGTCCTGACCAACTAATTAGCAACCACTGTGACAAGCATTCACCTTGCTTTGTGTATATCATGGTTAGATTTAGAATGGGGCAACTACAACATCAACAAGGACTAGAAGACATGCAAGATGTGGCTTTTGTTATTGTGCAATTCACCTGATTAAATGTTTTAATCTGTTGTTTGGTGTTCTGTTTAAAAAAAACCAAAAAACCACCACAACACATCAAATCAGTTTCTTACCAAATGTTGTCTTCTCTACTAAATTTCCTGTGTCTGAGAAGTCATCAGTGGCTTTACCAAAAAGCCCACCAACAGTATAAACCTGGAAGAAGGACAGAGTGCAATTTATCAAAAAAATGCTGCAAGCAATTGAGCAGCAGTACTGCACCATGCAGCTGCTAGAAGTGCAGGCTATGAGAGTTCTATACAAAAAACAGCAACATCCTGTGCTCAAAAGGCGACAAGTGGATGCTCATGTGAAGGATGAAACTCTAGACCCTGAAAAGCTCTCAAAAGCACTGGTAGGTTTGAGACTTAAGTGCAGAATCAACATCACAGGGCTGGTCTGGGACACTGGGGCAGGATCAAGCATGTGACAGCACTCTGGGGCTCTGTTCAGAGCCAGCACTTACCTTGGTCAGGTGGCAGTTGTACAGGTCAGTGAGCAGCTTGTTCCCATGGCCGATGCCAAGCACTGCAACACAGAAAATGGGGAACCTGTTACTCAGCCTCACAAAAAGTCACTGATGTGCATTTACACAGCACTGAATACTCACGCCACTCACGCCTGGACAGGGCTGTATCTCCTTAGCAGTCACGTCTGAGGAGTGCAACTAGACCCCCAAATTATTGTCTGGCATGAAAACCATAGGGCTGTAACAGAACTCTTGGATTTCCCCAGAACTTTCCATCTGGGCACTCAGGGCAAACGCTCAGCAGTGCCAGCCACAGCAAAGCCAGTTGAGGTGGTGGAGCAGACATGGGGATTGGTGTCCCCCAGCAGAACCCACTGTGCCTGGGTCTCTCCTATCTAGCTTTGCCAGAGGCTTGCTGGGCCATTTCTGTGCTTTAGCACTCAAACTCCCAGTGGGGCTGTGATATCCAGGGGCTGCTGTGGCGCAGTGGCCGTGCATCCACCCTTCTTCCCTGCATGGAAACCCGTCACGGTACTGCCGCGGGACGGGACCCACCGAAAACTCCCGAGGCCTTCACATCCAGCCGGTGACCTGCTCCGATCTTCAGCTTCCTGAACCGCGGGCCTCGGACTGCAACGGAGACAGAGACGGAGCCGGTCGGCAGCGCCTGCCCGGGGCTCCCCCCGGTGCCCGGTCCCCCGGGGCAGGCCCCGCGGTGCCCTTACCGAGGGGGTGCTCGGCCAGCACCGGCACGCTGGCAGCCACCAGCTCCACGGCCCCCTCCGCGGCCGGGCTCGGTAGGAAGCGGACTCGCTGCCGCGGGGCGCGCTCCGGAGCCGCGTTCAGTTCTGAAAGAGACCCGGGGCACAGGGGGAGTCAGGGGCGGCCGGCGGTACCCGGGGACGGGACGGGCCCCGCCGGTAGCCCCTGGGGATGGGATGGGATGGTCTAGGGGGTCCCGCCGCCCGCGCTCACCGCGCAGCAGCCGCGTCTCCACCGCCTCCCGGACGCGGCCCCACGCCCCCCCCGCCGGCTTGTGCATGCGGCTGCTGCTGCTGCTGCGGGCGGCGCGGGCCGGGGTCCCGCTGCTGCGGGGCGGCCCCGCTTCCCCAGGCAAGTGCCGCAGCCCCCGGAGCGTCCGCGCCAGCCCCTCAGCCGGGCCGCTCCCTCACCGCTGCTCCCCGCAGGCAGAGCCCGGCCGAGCCACAGCGAGCCGCGGGGCCCGGATGGACGCGGCCAGGAGGAGGAGGAGGAGGAGGAGATGGAAGGGTGGCAGCAGCTGTACCCCGGGCACATCCCCACCAGCCCGCTGCAGAAGGCGCTGCTGGCCGCCGGCTCCGCGCTCATGGCGCTCTATGACCCCTACAGGCACGGTAAGGCCGGCCAGGGCAGCGCCTGCCACCCGCGGCCAGGAAATCCCGCTCCCTGCTCCTGGGAGCTTCATAGGAGAGTCTGGGGCAAGCGCTGAGAACGGACCCGGTGCTGAGAACTGACCCGGGGCTGAGAACTGACCCGGTGCAGGAGGCTGTGAAAGAGAGGGAGTGAGGAAACCCAACGCACCCCAGCGTGACCCCTTGTGATGCCACCCAGACCGGTCTGTTTCTCCAGAGTGCCCCAGGCCTCATGACTGCTCTCCATCCCATTCCCAGGAAGGGCCATGTGGGTGACACCACGGCAGAGTAGCCCTGAAGCTGAAGATCTGTGGTTTATGGAATCCCCACTTTGCTGCGGGCTTCCTCGTGCTCCTGGTCAATGGTTCATTGCCCTGTTTCCTCAGCTGCCCACCAAGGATAGCTGGGTGTTGCGAAAACAGCTCTTGGGTCACTCTCTGGTCTCTCTTTCAGACATGGTGGCAGTCCTTGGGGAGACCACAGGCTGCCTGGCCCTGCCAAACCTGCGAGACAAGATGAAAAACCACCCTGAAGGTTACCGCATCCTCCAGTGCGTCCCACCCCATCCCTCCCTCCCTCCCTCGCCGTGTGGTTTGTGGTGGGGCAGCAGACACGAGGCCAAGCAGGTTCCTTGGCCCTCTGAAGGGAGAGCTTGGAAGCAGGACAGGTGTTTTGCAGCTCTAACCCTCCAGGCTAACTTTATTTTTAACATTCGCAGGAGCCCTGTGACACATCCAAGGGCAGGCACCACTTGCCTGTCTGTTCTGCTCCGCTGCTGGAACTGGCAGCTGCCAACACCACGAGATGCAGCAGCAGGCACAGGGGAGAAACCCATGGATGTGGGTGCTGAGCAGTGATGAGAACACACTACATCCATGAAATTCTTCCCTGTGCCTGCTGCTGCATTTTCTTGCATTGGAAACTCTGTCTCTGCTGGTCTGCCTCCTCCTTAGATACTTCCATTTTTTTTCCTGTCTCAAGCTGAAATAAGGCCACTTATTTTCTTTTATAAGACCCCATCACTTCTGCTTCCATGTCTGCAAGGACCTGTGGAGTGCAGCAAGGCTGAGGACCAGGAGGGATTTCTCTTACTAACCAAGCTCTCACTGTATATCTGCTTGCCTTCTCCCTATTCCCTGATATGTGTCACACCTGCTGCTTGTGTCACATAGGAGCTTGAGAAAAGTTGCCTTTTGCCACATGTTTGTGCAGACCAGCCTCATCCTGGCTCGACAAGTTGACTGGGTGAAACATCCAGAGCACTGGGATGGGGCTGAATCCCAGCAGAACTACTCAGGGACAGGGTTGGGAAGGGACATACCCACCTGCTCCTTGCCCTGTGGTATTGCAGGGATTTGCAGGGGTCTGAATTGGGCACACAGGTCTTTTTGTTTTTATCCCCCAAGCTGCTGAGGTCCCTTTGACAACAAATACACAAGGAAATATCTGCAGCCAGTGTGAAATTGGTGCCAGTGATGCGTATCTCACTGGCACATTCACTCTAGGAGCTGAGCAGCTCCTGGATCTTTTATCGTGGGAAGAGTTTACCCTGTGAATGGAAATAAAAGGGCTTTTGTTTACTTCCAATGCTGTGAGGCACCTGTTTGCCAACAACCTGTAGAGGAGACCTTTCTCTGGGTGGCTGCCGTGTGGCTGGTGGTGAAAGCCTGAGCAGGATTGAAGTTAAACCTTTTCTTAGAACAAATTCCTTCTCCTCTTTGGGGCTGCTCCTTTGAAGCTCTGGCTGCTTTGCAGTGGCATTAAATTTCTCTGCTCTGCAGGGCTGGCTGTTGCTGGGGGCTGTGCCTGGCTGGCACACACAGCAGCAGCTTTTCAGTGCAGGGGACACCAATGTTTTTCCCACCAGGGTTGTTACAAGCACACAAGATACAGGCTCTTTTATTGCCAAGGCTTCAGGTAGATCCTTTAAGCAATTTGTGTCCCAGCCTCTGCAACAGACGTGCAGACAGGGCTGTCCCTGCAGTGAGCAGTTAGGATCTGCACAGGGAAAATAGCAGTGATGGGCAGAGGCAGGGGTGGGGGTTTCCAAGGACCTTTTCTGCAGGACCTGCTGCTGTGGATTTTACTGGGAGTCTCAGTGACCTGTGTTGTGCTTCCAGGGAACGGCCTCGCATCCGTCTGTCCACGCTGGACATGGCCAGGCTGCAGGGGCTGCCGGAGGGCTCACTGGGGCGGGAGTACGTGCGGTTCCTGGAGGACAATGTGAGAGGGGGGTTCATGGCGTGCACATTTCTGTGGCTGATCCCTGTGCTGGGAGCACAGGTGAGACTGGAGCCACAGAGTTGAGTTGGGCCTCTCTGGACTTGCAGAAAGTTTCTCCAGACACCCGGATGCCGCCCAAGTTTGTCGATGATGAAGAGCTGGCATACGTGATCCAGCGGTACCGGGAGGTCCATGACCTGATGCACACCCTCCTGGGCATGCCAACCAACATGCTGGGTGAGCAGCAGCGGGCTCAGGGAGCTGCACTGCCAAACCCCCCGATTGTGCTGGGCTGCCTCCCAGAAATGGAGCAGGCTGGGCCAGCCAGACTCCCTGAGCCTCAGCCCGGGCCAGTGTGTGGGGATTTTACATCATCACTGTCCTACATCACTGGCTCTGGGGTGACCAGGAGGGCATGAGATGTCACCTTTTCTCTGCTGGGAGATGCTCTGCCCAAGCCCTGGGCACAGGCAGGCACTGGATGGGTGGTTTCTGCCTGGCAGGGAGGGTGGGATGTTTTGCAAGCTCTCTGTGAAGCCAGAAGGGAATTCCTGGTTGATCCTTATCTGCACATCTCTGTGTCCTTTGCCCTTATTTTTGTCTGACTCAATAGCAAGTCACAGGTGCAGCCCTGCTGGTACCTGTGGGGACCAGCATGACAGGTCTCTTCAGGCTTTGCCTGAGTCCAGGCAGTTTTGTAGAAGGCCTGTGCTGTGAGACCAGGAGAGCCACACGGGGCTTCGGGCTGTGGCAGTGCCTTGCCGAGGTCTGCAGGGAGTTGGACTGCCTGGGATGTGTTCCTCAAGCTCCCAGGGCTTGTGGGGTGCCATTCCTCTGGGGTGGATGAGTGGTGTGTGACAAGGCCCAGCCTGGCACAGGCCATGGTCAGACTTGGGAAGCATTCCCAAGTAGCCTTCCTTGGGAAGGGCAGATGTACAGCCTGTGCTGAGGAGCCACACAGCCCTGGCTGCCCTTGATCCAGGTGCTCTGTCTGCTCACAGCCTCCCTGCTCCCTCGCAGGTGAGGTGGTGGTGAAGTGGTTCGAAGCCATCCAGACGGGGCTGCCCATGTGTGTCCTGGGAGCAGCGTTCGGCCCTGCCCGGCTCAGCACACGGTAGGTGCCAGTCTCTGCCCTGGGTACACCCAGCCTGTGTGGTGTGTCCACTGGGGACAAAGAGGGGACACTGCTGGTTTGCAGTGGGGAGTCAGTCATGGATCCCTCCATGAGCCTATTGCTGTCCCCACATCCCAAGGATGACAGCTTTGCTTGTCACTGAAGCAGAACCCAATGCTTAATCTGCATTCAACACCAGCTCCCCTGAGCCAGGCAGGAGCAATTTCCAGGCCTTGGATGGGCACATGTTGAGGGCCAGTAGGACCCTCACCACACTGGGAGCTGTTCCCTGCACAGCTGTTTTTGTTTCCCAGCAGTTGCAGAACCTGAGTTCTGGCCTTGGGTTTGTGTTGACTGTAACCTTCCTGGCATACCTTCCTCTTCTGTGCCTCAGTTTCCCCTGTGAGTTATGCAGAGGGGATGCCAGAAAGTTAGAGGGATACATGGGACACGTGGGTTTGGCATCAGCCTACAGTGGGGACTTGGAGAAGGAAGTTAACGAAATGTGGATATCAAAACTGCCACCACCTGTACCGTTTGTTCCAGAAAGCTGCAGGTCCTGGCCACCGAGCTGGTTCCCTGGGCGATTCGGAGCGGGCTCAACGCCAGCTGTGTCCTGAACGTCTACTACGAGCAGCGCTGGGAGCAGCCAGTGGAGTCCCTGCGGGAGGAGCTCGGCATCCTCCCTCCCCCGGCCGTCAGAGTGTGAGAGTTCATGTCGGGAAGGGCCCAGGGGACCCCTGTTGGCAGCCAGCAGCCGGCCCCAGCCGCACTCCAGCTCCTCCTGCCCTGCCGGGAGCACAGCGTGGCTGCAGCTCTTCCACCATGGACCCGAGGGCTGTGTTTCCTCCTGCCGAGAGCTGGCACCAATCTGTTGGTAGGGGCCAACTGGCACCTCCCTGTGCTGTGACAAAAACTCGACATCTTTTTTGCTGTTTGTGATTTTGGTTGCGGGATGTCAGGGTCAGATGTGCCTTTGCCAGCTGGTCTGGCTGCTCAGCTCTCCCAGCAGCAGCATTCCAGTGCTGCTCCCAAGTGCTGGGATGGGGAGGGAGCACACTGCAGCAAACTGATGCCTTGGCCTTCTGCAGCCCCAGGGCTGTGCAGGTAAATCCTTCCTCCCACCCTTCCCATCCTGGGAAGATTGAGGCTTCAAATCTTGGGGCTGCCCTGGACTGGAGCTAAACCCATGATTTTCAAGGAGCACAGGAGCAGGTTTGGTGTGTGCAGTGGTGAAATCCCATTTGCACTCAGGTGGTGCACTCTCCTGTTGGGTCACATTGGATGTGCCTCACTTCCTGCCTCAGAGACCAGGCAGTGTGTGATTGTGCCCACAGGGCAGGCAGGGAAATACCTTTGGGTATTTTCCCTCCTGGATTGGCTGTTTTGAGAGCTGATCCCAGTCTGCTGTAGTCCCTCCCTATGAAAAATGATGAAATCCACATGATTGTGCTGGCTGTTCAATAGGAATCATCCCTTCCTTGGGCAACAGAATGACACAGTTGGGATGATGGGATTGAATCCAGTGAGTGCAGAATCAGCGGCTGCTGGTGCTGTGTCTGGGAGCTGATTGCTGTCTGGGTTAATTAAACTGTGCTCCAGACTGCCAGCAGCCGGGGAGCGGAGTGCTGGATGTGATGGCAAAGAGCCACGAGGCCAGGGGCTCTTTGTTCACGTGTGTTTGCTGTTGGAATTCCTTCTTGTTTAATAAATCCACACTGGGGCTTGTAGTTCATTACCCCTGTCCTTTTGCCCTGTCTCCCCTCCTGAGCTGGAGATCTGATGTAAAACCTCACCCCTTTTTGGCTCCAGCAGGTTTTCTTCCTGCCCCCCAGACTTCCTTTTTCTAACGTCTCCCTGCATCAGCCACCCCACGAGCCAGACTTTGGGTTTTTCTCCAAATCCTCCCTTGGAGCCCCAGAGATATTTCAGATGCTAAAAGTCAGTATATAAATACATCCTTTAGCTGCCAGTAAAACACACAGTGTGGGGGTTATCCTAGTGCAGTGGTCGAGATGAAAGAAACATTTGCCTCTAAAATGACCCAGAAACGTCAGAGCCTTGGGGTGGATAAACCAAAGGGCAGCAAAGATTTGCTTCCAGGAACTGTGAGCAGCAGTTGAGAAAATGTGGGAAATGATGGCTGTGAGAGAGGATTTTGCTGCATTTTGGGTTATTTAATGAGGCCTTGCAGTGTCCGGGCTGCCAGTGCTGGTGGTGCCGCCTTCGTGCAGCCACGTGTGGCTCAGTGGGCTGGTGCCAGCGCTACAGAAATGGCACAGCATGTAATTTTAAACGGCATCTGCTCAGCCCGATCAAGTAACAGTCTCCGTGGCTCCTGTTCTGCAGCCATCGCTTGAGGAGCCTGCGGAAAGAAGGCGGCAGGGGAGGGAGCGGAGGGTGATTTGGGGAGGGCAGACACCAGCCACATGAGAATGCTTTATTTGGAGAAGATATATTCGCTGTGGGCAAGCGGCAGCTCCACCGTGCCCGTACTGCGGGGCCGTGCTAACAGTTAACTCCTGGAATGCTGGCACGGATGCCCGGGTACGCCCCCCGGTGCCGCCGGGTTTTACCGCGGTGCCGCCGTGAACCAGCTCCCAAAACGGATCTCCCGCTCCGCGCTCTCCCGCAGACGAGCGGGCCCCGCAGCGCCCGGGGGCTGCCGCGGTTCCCCCTGGCCCGGTGCAGCCGCGGAGCCCCGGGAGCGATTGCCGCGCCCCGGCGGCAAAATGCGACTCTGGTGGGACTCGAACCCACAACCTTTGAATGACTCCCGTCACACGCTAGAAGTCCAATGCGCTATCCATTGCGCCACAGAGCCCTCGCTCTGCCGCGCCGCCCTCACCGCCTCTTCCCCGCGCCCCGCCCGCGCCGCTGCTCCCCGGCGCTGCGTCCGTCACCGCGGGGCCGGGCCGGTGCACCGGGCGGGACTACAGCTCCCGGCGGCCCGCGCTGCCCGCCCCTCCCCGCCCCTGCCGCAGAGCCGGGCGGGCCCCGCTCCCGGTGCAGGTGGCCGGGCCTCAGCGGACGCCCCGGAGTCCGGTAAGAGCGTGGCACCATCGTCCCCATCCCGGTCCGTCAGCGCCCGGCGCCGCCGCGGCGGCCGCGCTCCCTCCCCGCGGGCGGCCCCGCGGGCTCCCCATCAGGCGCCGCGGGCCTGCGGGCGGCACCAGGGTCCCTCCGCTCCGCCGGTCTCCGCATGAGGTACCGGGGCTCCTCGTGGGGCACCGCGGCACCGCACGGATCCCTCCGTGCCCTGCCGTCCGCGGGAGCGCGCCGCGGGCCCTCGCCCCGCCGAGAGCGGCGGTGCCCGGGCGCTTCCGGGGCCTGGCGGGCTGGGGTGGCGGGGCCTGGCTGCCTCCCGGTGCGGGCCCTCCCGGCCTTTCTGCCTCGTGTGATGGGGCTGGGCAGCGCTGCTCGACCTCCCTGCTGGGGTCAGGAGGGTGACACGGGGGGCCCTGCCCAGGGCGGGTCGGGGACAGGTGCCACCAGGGTGCCATCGGCGCTGGGGTTTCTCTCAGCCCGGCCACATGCCCGTTGTCCCCCTGGGACCCTCCTCGGGCTCGGTGCTCGCCGGGTGGATCCCCGCGCTTTGCCTCGGTCGGTGCCTGCTGGCTGTGAGCTACAGGCATGGCTTCGCTTCCTCTGCGCTGAGGCAGCTGGACAAGACCTGAATCCATAACGCAGGGCTGGAGGTCTTTGGCAGCCACACACCGGGTATCTCTGGGGAATCTCTCCCCGGTATCTCTCGGGAATCTCTCCCCGGGTATCTCCGTAGGAGGCACCGGGATGCCGGAGTGAGGTGGAGATAGAGCAGAGGGTGACAGGGGCTTGCCTGAGCCTGCCTTGCCTTCCAGCGGGAGATTAAGCGCTTTGCTGCCCACACAGAGTGGGGCTCCCCCGCTGCTGCCTCTCCATCGGCTGCTGTGAGGCTGTCACAGGGTCCCGGCTGAGGCACAGCAGTTTGATGGTGATCTAAAAGCTGCCCTGTTGAAGTGCAGAGAGAGGCTCCCAGGCAAAAATATAGTGAGTCCTGCTAAAAGGCAGAGGGACAGTATTGTGGGACATCATGTCTGGGAGGTAGATGTTTGGTGGGGAGTGTTCAGAGGTCACTGGCACAAGGGGGAATCTCAGGGTAAGGGCTGTTGGTGGGAAAATGTGTCCATGTGGGAATGGTGTCTTGTGCTCTGATGCTTCCCAGCCTGCTGCTGGTGACACAGCTCAGAGGTGGGACAGCCAAGGAACAAGACACGTGGCCATGTGGCACTGCCTTGGCTCCCACCCTGAAGGCATCTGGTATCAAATCCACAGAAGCTCCTTGGATCTGGGGGCCTGCACGGAGCAGAGGGAAAGCCACAAGCGTGGCTCCCAGCCCCACCAGTTGTACAGGAGACCATGCAGGGCTCCCACCTTCAGAGCAGGGAATCAATCTTCAAGAGGGAAATGATGCAAATGTTTCCTTCCTCTTTGGCCTGTGTCCATGCCAGGAAGGGCCAGTTTTATCTAGGAGCTGTGAGGGTCACATCTCTGTCATTTTCCTCCTCCCAATGCTATTGCTTGAAAAGAGACATTGCTAGATCACTGTCTCTGAGTCTCAGAGCTAATTCTGGGGTGTGCCTGGGATGGGGACAGAGATGCTGTTTTGGAAGGACAAGTACCAGAGAGAGAGTCACTGTCCCCAGGGAATGGGACAGGGGCCTGGGCACTCCTGGCAGCAGCGACAGCCCTTGTTCTGCCCACTCCAGCCTCGCCTCATTCCTGACCTGCTCTGGCAGTGCCTCCAGCCTACCCAGGCCAGGAAACAGCCCGCCAACATGAGGGTTTGCAAACACAAGCAGAGCTCAAAGAACTGAGTTTCCTGTCCCTGATACTGTCTGAGATGTGTTGTGGAGCACGTGAAGCTGTGCTCTTCCAACAGCTGTGATGGCTGTCCTGGAGCCAGGCATGCAGGAGAGCTCATGCTCGGGGCCTGGGAGACTCTGGATTTTAAGGACAGAGGGGTTCTGGGGTAGAGTTGAGCGTTGCAATCATCTGTACACAGCCTCCTGCCATGACTTTGCTCACACATCCATGGAAGGGACTTTATCCTGCATCTCATGTTGCTGGGGCGTGGCCAGAGGCCTGGCTGGTGTGCAGGATGTGGCTCCCCAGGTGGGAATGGCTCTCGGCTTGCACCAGGCAATGCTGTGCTGATGGCTCACTTGGAGGCCATCTCCAGGGTCAGATAAAGTTACATCTTTGGGAGCTCTGGGCTGCTGGGTTACATCCTCACTGCCAGGAGGACTGATGACTCAGGGACCTCATCCAGGAAATTGGGGGCTGCTCAGGCACCCCACGCCCATGGGATTGTTATCACCACATCCATCATGCGTGGGTTGATGGCCCTGGTTTCTCTCTCCCTGTAGGCCACGATGCTGCGTTTGGCTGCTTTTGCAGCTGTGCTGCTGTTCTTCAGGGTCACTCTGGAACTGTCCTGGGCCCAGGCCATCCCTGCTCTCTTCATCTTCTACCTGGCATCCGGTGGATGGGAATTCTTCCTCATATTTCTCAAGACATTACCAAGGGATGTCAGGTAGGTGTCCTGGCTGGGATGGTCCAGCCGTCCTCCCCTGGCCCTCTGCTCTGCCTTGGTGTATGTGCATGTGTGGGCACAGTCCCTGACTCCCTGCACAGCCTGGGCTTCTGTTGGCACCTGGCCTGGCTGGAAGGAGATCTCCCTCTGCTGTGACCGGGTGACTCCAAAGTCCCGGGCAAACTTTTCCCAAGAAGGATAGATTTCAGCTGAGCTCAAAGACTATTGACTGTCCTTGTACTTCAACCTGTCCCTAAAGCTGCTGGCGTAGCACCAGGTCCCTGTGCAGAGTTTGTTCTGAGTTGGTATCAGGCTGTGCCAGCCCCTGGCAAGGATATGCGGGGAGGGAGTGGTGGTACCTCTTGGAGAGCATTCAAGGCTCAAAAATGCCTCTTTGATTGGGAACATCCCTGTCTGCAGACTTCAAAACACATCTCTCCCTGGCTATGGGCATCTCTGCAGATGTGTTCTGCCTATGTGCACACTGCTCAGGGGAGCACACAGAGCTGCTGCTGACCTCGAGCGGGGTCTGGTGTAAGTGCTGGGCTGTTGCAGCTCCTCGGAAGGTCCTTGTGCTGTGCTGGCTTTGCTGGAGGAAGTGATTTTGCAGGGGTCACTGAGCAGCTGCCCTCTTGCTCCCCTTCCTTTGGCAGCACGGGGCTGGTCCTGTTGCGGGTGAAGTGGCAGGTATGGAGGCACGTGAGGGAGAAGAACACAATCGCCAAGATCTTCCAGAAGACCGCAAGGAAGTATCCAGAGAAGACAGCACTGATCTTCCAAGGCACGGGCGAGAGCTGGACCTTCCGTCAGCTGGACGAGTACTCCAACCAGGTGGCCAATTTCTTCTACGGCCAAGGCTTCCGCTCGGGTGACGTGGTGGCACTCTTCATGGAGTCCCGCAATCAGTACGTGGGGCTGTGGCTCGGGCTGGCCAAGATCGGGGTGGAGACGGCCCTCGTGAATTCCCACCTGCGCCTGGATGCCTTGCTGCACTGCATCACCATCTCCAGCTCCAAAGCTGTGGTTTTTGGGGTGGAAATGATGGAAGGTGAGGCGCTGGCAGATGTTTTGGGGGTGCTTTGGACTGGAGGGAGGTGTGTCTAGTCGGTGGGCTCAGTGTTCCTTTCCTGCCCACCGCAGGGGAAAAGAATGGACAGTTG